TGAGCTCACCTGTCGTCCAGACATTGTGTTTTGGGAGGTTGACTTTTCCCTGCCAGCAGCCTGAGGATGATGATGTTGGTCTCACTAGTCCGACAGATGAATCCTCAGCGTGCTGTTTATTCTCTTGTCTCCCTTTTAGAGATATTTGGTCTGACGTGGTTTTCAGGGCCATTACCAGCACCATTAAACCGATGCATCGTGTGACTGAACGCATCATCATCAGAGTCTGTGTGTCTGCACTCTCTGACCTGAGGGTGTGTCGGCAGCTCCACTCCAGCTCTGTGGAAACCGTCAGGGCGGTGCTACGTATATTATATCACACCGCAATTAACAACATTTCTGTCTCTGGACGTAGTCTGGGCCCGTCAGTGAAGAGGAGGAGGAGGAGGAGGAGGCAAACCACAGAAACACATCCTCCTGCACTGAGCAGGACCATGTGTGGAGCCTCGCAGCAGGACTCGCTCTGTCAGAGCCGAAGCTGTTTGTTGTTCAGTCCGGTGGTTCTCAAAGTAGAGTCCGGGGACCCCCGGGGGTCCCTGAGGGGAATACTTTGTTTTCACTATCCTTAAGTAACACAAGGACAGAATGTATTTCTGATTTGATTGTGGGTTTCATACACTTTCTATATGAAAACTAAAAACAAAAATCCTATCAGATGGGGGTCGGTGGTCAGTTTAGGGGTCCTTGAAGTTTGAGAGCCTCTGCTTAAATTCATCAGTCAATCAACAGAGAAATACCAACTGCCAACGGCTCTGAGAATTGATCGGCCGTTTAAGTTGAAATATTCATATATAATAAAAATAATAGAATTGTAAGATTCTCAGTCATCCAGGTCATAGTTAAAAGGACTTGGTTGAAGATACTGGAACCAGTATCTTCAACCAAGTCCAGTTGCCCTTGATTTTAACCTTCGTTGGATAAAATAATATTGTTTCCAGCTTCTCCGTTGTGGTGATTTGCCTCATATGATCGTAAACTGAAAGTCTTTTAGCTTCATCAGTGTCCTGGAAAATAGTACTTTGTTGGCCCTAAGCGGCCATCCATTCAAAATTTTTTTACTCCATATTCCCGTGATCTCGAGATAACAAACTGTAGCTGAATACAGCAGTCGGCAGGTGCGTTCCTTTAGGATAGTTTAGTTGGATTCATCTGTTACTGATAAACTTCTAACAGGTCCGTCCCAGCAGAGGCTGAAAACATCGTTACTGACAGTAAACTGATTCTCTTCGGGTTTTGGACTGTTGGTCGGACAGAACAAGACATCTGAGGACGTCACCTTGGACACTGGGAAACTGTGTTTATGACATTTTATTAACCAAACAGTGAATTGATTCATTAGGAAGATAATCAGCTGATTAATCAGTGTTGAAAGTGTTCAGCTCTGGTCTCTGCAGTCGGACCGCTGATTTCAAACCAGAAAGAATCTGGTTTTACTGAGTGCAGGTGGGATCCAGTGTAAAAATATACTTAGTATAAAATGGTAAGAAACGAAAGTATACCTGAATGCAGCTTGTGAAGGCAGCAGTCTGAGGGTTTGTGTTTGTGTATCTGCTGCTGCAGGAGGTGTTTCTGTTTCCTGCTATTTACTGCTGATCTGGACTTCCTGTTTCCTGTGTCCACTCAGACTCAAGACAAAAGCTTCATTACTGAGACAGAAAAGCAGCCACACAGATGATTTTATTACAGGGATTTATCCGTCACACAACAAGCTGGTTAAAGTTATATATTGGAAAGCAAAAAAATGTGAAGACATTTGACAGAATGATCAAGTTTTGCAGGTTGTTTTGTGATCACGCTCACGGTTTCATCCGTTTTGTCTGTCTTTGACGTTACAGTTTTTATTTATTGACATTTTATCATACTTCTCTTTATCAAAGATTAGTTTTTAATTCCTTGTGTTTCGTTTTCATCCTGATAAAATGTTTGTCAACGAATATTTTAAAATGAACTTTAACTTTGTCCCAAAGCCTGAAACATGGATTATAGTCTTCATTCTGATTCTGGAGTATGATCCAGCACATGTTTTGTGATTTCAGATGTCTGATGGATCTAAAGTCTCCTCAGGACCATCAGATGAACAGGTGGCATTCCTCCATACAAACGCAGAGAAACTCAATCTGCACATTAATCAGATTCTTTTCAGTTCAAATCTGATGAATTCCTTCAATATGCCGGCCTCACGCCTGCCTGGGGGGGAGGGGGTGAGGAGGGTCTTTGTTCGTGATGAATGGGAGGGGTCACCCTTGGCGGGGCGTCCCGCGAGCCGGCAGATGGCTGATAGGACAAGCAGACAAAAGTGGACGGTGGACTTTCTCCATTCAGAGCCGATCGTCTGAGCTTCAAGGCACAAAACAGCTCCGGGCTGAAGGAGGACCGGGGGAGGACCGGGGGAGGACCGGGGGAGGACCGGGGGGGGGGAGGTTCACCAGTTCAACCTTCACTGATGCTGTGAAATCTGTTATCATAATATCAGGTCCTAAAAAAACAGGCCGAAGACGTTTAACCACATAAGTGTTCGTCCCTCCAACAACAAATAAACTTGAGCAGGAGCTTCATGGCTGAACGCAGCAACGACTTTTTATTGGAAAGCCAATTAGTTAAAATAGTTTTCAAAAGAAAAGGGTGGAAGTCTCCCAAAAATGTAATGATGCCACATTTTGAGCCACAAATGACACCCGTGATCGGGATAATAGCCGAGGAACTCGTAGGGCGAGATGTACATTACTTTATTTGGAGCTTGTAAAATAAATTTCTCCTTCTTAGAAAGTTCAGGACTTTGACCCCAGAGTTCAGGTCCTGAGTCCCGTCTGTTAGGGTTGGGTTTCATGTAGCAAACATATCAAATACAGAAGGACAGCGGGAAGGAATGTCAGAACGGGTCGGCTGTCAGTGTAATTTAATGTAATGATGGAAAGTGATAAACAGATGAAAGGCTGTTGGGTTTTGTCTTCTGGAGCAGCGAACATCCTGCAGATACAAGGTTTCATCTGGTCACATGGTGTTTCAGTGATGTTCAGGTTGAAGTCCAGTCGTGACCTTTGACCCAGCTTTATTAGCTCTCTCTATCGCTGTGTCTTTGTAACCTTCTGTTCTTTGCTTCTAACACATGCCGTGTGTCCTGAAGCTCTACTTTCTGTGGAACAGTCCGTTTTCTTCTTGATGCAGGAAACCGTCTTTTTATTTTCATATGCTCGGACACGTTCTACCTGCGTGGGCTCAGATCAATGACTGATCTCGCAGCATTTGGAAAGAAAAATAGTGTGGTTCCAACTTTGTGCAGCTGGAGAAAAGCATCTTGCTCCCATGAGGTTTTAATGTCATGTGACATGTTGACGTTTTGCAGTGGCGGCGAAAGTCAGACACAGTTTCTAACCAGCATGCATCACGTTAAGTCAGCGCAGCGCAGCATGAAGTCAAACATCTTCTCCTTTCTTCTTCAGAAATTGTAACCGTGCGGATCATTATTTGCATCTTTTGGCCACGATTGTCTCCCGACAAAATATCTGCTGGCTTGTTTATTCACTCCAATTAAATTTTAAATAAAAAGAAGGTACTTCTACTTTTACGATCGCTTCCTCGGCCACCATTTTCAAAAGGTTTAAAAATATGTTGGTGGTCCCTCCCCTTTTGCTGCGCAGCCAAGATGGCGACCGTTGAGGGTGAGAAGTGTCCGGCGCTCCACACGTAACTTTTTAATCACTATGAGTGCACCACCTGCGTTTTGCCATACTTGTCAGTGTGAACACAGTGGCCTCAGAATAGTAAGTGTGAGTATGGAGGGGCGTGAACTGAGAAGTTAAAACTATTATAATATTTCAGTCATGACGACTAACTAGTATAATATTGATTTATTTTTTTTATATATATATATATATATATATATAAAGTGTACAGAAGTAGTTTTTATGTCTCTGATTCACTCCCTCGTCTCTCTGTCGGGGCTTTCCAGCTGTTGAGGTTTCTCCTCAGCACTTCACATCCTTGTTTCAATGACGAAGGTCAAAGGTCACTGATGCGTTTGAGGTCAGCAGTGCATTGTGTTGCCGTCGGCTCCCCCCCCCCCACTTTCCTCCACTGACCTGTGGGAGAGGATGGGCGTTGCCATGCCTGAGCTCGCCATTAGAACACTCTGAACCACAGGTCCGCCGTGACCTTTGACTTCTGCCTGACTCGCTCAGGAAACGAGCGTTCGGGAAACCTCAGAGCTCTTTATCGTTCTTTAGAAGACGTCTGACGTTGTAATTGTTTGTGATGAGGTTAGATGTATTTTAGAGTTCATACTGCAGCTGGAGTGAAAGTAAAGCAGACAGGAAGAAAGACTTTAGGAAGGTTTGGAAAGTCCTGGACTGATGTTATGTGTCGTTCCAACGGTCACTTATCGTCTGGTGTTTGCGTTCTTAAAGATTAAAATATTAAATCAGCTAATTCTGCGGTTATCCCACGTTTTTAAAATCAGTTAGGTTTTGAAAATCCCCTTGTGTTGCGTTAAGTAGTGCTGAAACTGATTTTGAGGTAAACGACTGTCACCAGGTGAATTAATCGATCGTTTTAACACGATTCATTGAGCAAGCATCAGGTTTTAGCCAGCGGATGCTTCTTTTGTCTGTTTAAATATTTCTGCATTTTTCATAATACTCTGACATTTAAACGTTTTTTTTCATTAATCGCTAATGAAAATAATATTTTAGTCCGCAGAGCTTCGGTCTCTGCATGAAGCCAGAAACCTGGAGTTTCCTAAAATAGCTGCTGCCTGATGACCTCAGCCTGCTGCTCTCAGACTGACGCTCGGTTTAAAAAAAAAAGAAAAAAAAAGACATAAAAGAAACAGAAAATTGCTCCAAACTCCAGAAAGCCAAAATAAACAGAGGACAGAGTGAAGTCTGGTTTAAGAAGCAGAGACGTCATGGAAGAGGTTTACAGAGAGGGGGGGGTTGCACAAAAGCAGAGTCTGTGTGCTGAAGCTCACGAAGCCCCTCCCTCCCTCTGTTCTCCCCCTACAGATGAGCCGGTGTGAAGGGAGGGGGCGAGCGACATAGACAAACACAGGGAGAGAGAGAGAGAGGGAGCAGCTGGAGGCGACAGAGAGCTTCAGTAGAAAGAGAGAGAGGAGGCAGCAGGACGGAGCATGAAGGAGCTGCTGAGTTTCTGTTACTGAAGAAGAAAACTACAAGCCGGTAAAACTCCTCAGACTTTATTCACTGTTGCTCATTTACAGAAATTCACCTTCTAATTATTTTATTTGTTCATTTCTGTGAATTTCTTAATTTCACATTTGTTTTTAACACTTTATTTTGGGCTTGAAAAGGTGCGTTTGGAAATGAATAAAAGCTTGATAATGTTGATAATATAGTTTAGAGCTCCTGCATGTGATGCACTTTCACTGATAACCTACGATGTGCATCAGAGAACTGAGGCTGGTTGTCCAAAACTGAACAGAAGATGTTTTGATCAGATTAGACTGAAGCGTGCATGAACAATTTGTATTTTTAGGAGCAGCAGCAGAAACCGATGGAGAGGTTGATGTAGTAGGAGTAGTGATAGCAGCAGCAGCAGCAGCAGCAGCCGCAGAAGTAGTCCTAGTGGTTGCACTTTTCAAAACCTGAATCACAAAATGCTTCACAGTTACAAATGAAAGAATATAGACAGTACATGCCAAAGAAACAAAAGGGAAATCAAGATCTTAAATAAAGTACGTTTGGAGAAAAATCTGGTCACTTGTGTAGTAATGATTGGAGCGGTACAGTAGTAATTGTAGTGACAGCAGCAGTGTTAGCAGCAGTAAGACCTCAAGAATTGTGATTGGATCGGCTTGGTAGCATCGCAGGAACCTCCAGGCTCCCAGGAAGTGCTCCGTGCTTTGAAGCCAGCTTTTTTGATTTTGATTTTTGTTTTTTGTGAGCCACAAACCCTGCAACATGATTCAGTGTCAGAATTGAATTCATTCGGTTTGATAACCTTTGGAAAGTCTAGAAGAGCCGCACAATTATTATTTTAACCACATTCAAGTTAGCAGAAGGCTAACAGGAAGTTAGCCGGCTCGACCGGCAGAAGTCAACACAGTGAAACTTAGAAACCAGCTAGCGCTGGTTCGCAGAAGTATAAACTGGCCTTTAGAAAAGCGGTAAGGACATTAAAATGTGGGGAAGTGCTTGAGGCTGGATTACCAACTGAGCCAACGTCATTTATTCTGTTTCAGTTCAGTGAATTAGCATCTTGAGTTTTGGTGTTCGCTGACTTGTCACCTTTGCTGTGGTGATGTCACAGGCACTCCCGGTACACTGTGACATCACTGTTGAACCTGAACCAGAGGGGGCAACTCAAACACTGCTGCTCAGTAACTTTATTCGTCCAGTGCAGGACACTGAAACCGAGCACATTTAACCATTAAAGGTTCATTCCTGACCTTGGGAATAGAAGTATGACATAAAAACCTCAACTCAAAGATGTTTCTGGGACCTTGTACCAAACCCCGTGGCCCTCATCAGCAGATGGAGTTTGCTTATTTGTTATGGATGGATCTGTGGACGTAAGCTCGCTATCTAAAGGGATATTGTTGGTCCGCATTGGCTTTCCCTTTAAAAGTTTTACATTTGAAAAGATATTTTAAGCGTATGAAGTTAACTTTTAGACAAACATTCACAGCTTGAGCTTTGTCAAACTGCAGATTTACACATCTGAACCTGATGGGTGACCTAAAGGTGATTTTCCACCTCAGCGTGTGTCTCCAGGTGTTCTGGGGAGTTTCACGCCTTCAGTGTCTCCAGAGTGAGCTGTGTGATGTCTGATAGATGTCCTCGAGTGATGTCACTTGAGTCAGCGTCATTTGAAGACTACAAGACTGAAACAAATCTGTTGGTGTGGAGTTAGAAAGAAGTGAGCTCACCAGACCTCTGCAGCTGCTACTACTAGCATAACACACTGAAATCTCAGACTCAACTGTCAGCTGTCGGGTTGCATTGTGGGTAATGAAGGCGCCAGGATTTGACGAGAAAGAAGAATGTGCTGCTTTAAACGAAACTGTCCATCTGACAAAGTTACAGGAGTGCAGTGCTGAATACAGACACGATGCAGAGTAGGAGAGTAAGAGACAAGGAGTAGTGAGGGGTCGATGGGGGCCCCATCTTTGCCCCCAGGCCCCCTAGCAGTTAAATACGGCCCTAGTAGCAGCATTGGTGGAAGCGTTAGTACTGCTGTGTTCAGCACGAATATAAATCTGTCTCACGCTGAGTAAATCTGAGTTCACCGGCAGATCTGCAGCAGCGTTGGTTCCTTTGCTGTAATTTATGTCCTCCGTCTGTCTCATGTTGATGATGTCGTCCTCCTTGATCCTCCTCCAGGTTGCGATGGGAAACACAGACAGTCACAGCAGCTTCGTCCCTCCTGCCAAGTCCTCCTGCTCGCTCAGGTTCTCCTCCAGGAGGGAGGAGGTGCCATCAGCTCGCAGCTGGTGGAGGAGCAGCCAGGGAGGCTGCAGGAGCCGAGGGAGGAGCCAGCAGAACCAGCACGCCAGCGGCCTGCCGTACACCTCCTGGCATTATGAACGTGCGCCCAAACTGGGAGCTGGATCTCCTCAGGGGTTCATCAGAGGGGAGGCGCCGCCGCAGGGCGGCTGCAGGAGCCAGTTTGGCTTCTTGGAGAATGGCGACGGGAGAAACAGGATGTGTGGTGAGCGGACGTCTCTGGAGAGTGGCGGCAGCCCGAAGGTGCTGCTCAGCAAAGATGGCAGCATGAGGGTGGAGTTCACCAACACCAGGGTCGTCCCCATGGAGACGCAGGGGCTCACCAGCCTCCCCGCCACCACTAACACTGCCGCCGCCGCCCCCGTCAGCGATCCCTCGCTCCGCACCAGCAAGGGCAGCTCGCTCAGCTCTGACGGCTCCTGGTACGACTCGCCATGGGGGGCCGGCGGCGAGCTGGCTGACAACGTGTTCGTCTGCGGGCAGAGTGTGGCTAACAGCAGTGGCTACGCCACCTACTCCTCCACCCGCACAGAGGAGACCGCCACCACTAGCAGCGGGTACAACACCTTCTTCTCAGCGCAGGTGGACATCTCACCTGGATTTACCTCCAGCCTCCTCTTCCCCCCCGCAGAGACCAGCGAGTTCACCTCCGCCACGGGTTACAACACCTGCTCCTCCGGGCGGACGGAGGACAGCGGCATCGGGGACTCTGTGATCCTGCAGCCCGACCTGAGCGACTTCAGCCTGGTGTCGCCTTCCTCCGCCTCACTGGACAACGTTTACTCCAGCCACAACACGCTGCCCGCCTTCCCCACCGCGCCAGACGCCTCCCTGCTGCAGCAGAGGGCCGCCATCTCCTCCTCGGCGCTGCTGGATGATGTCATCCAGGAGGAGGAGGGGTCGGGAGGTGGCGCGGAGCAGCGTTACACCTCCCTAACGCTGCCGTGTCGCAGGGTCGAGCCCGCCAACGCCACCTCCACCTCCGGAAACAACCGCAAAGACTTCCTGAAGAGCCGAATCAGACGACTCAGCGACTGGACAGGAAGTCTGAGCAGGAAGAAGAGGAGGATCCAGGTGAGAAACAACAATGGCGTTTTAAAAAACATCCGAAGTCAGCATTAGCTGATCATGTACGGAAGATTAAAAATGCCTAAATAAAAACAATCGTATATATAGAAGCTCAATATTTGTAATTTAACATGTTTTCAATTAATTATGATGCAGTAAATACAAAATCAGTACGTCTTGTATTTCACTTAATTTCTCTGTTGATTAGTTTTATTTGGGCATTTAAAATCTTCCGTATCCGTGTAGCTAGAGCAGTAAAAGTACTACTTGTAGCAGCAGCAGTAGTTGTATGAACTGCAGTATTCGTTGCTGTATTGAACACATTTTCCTTTTCCATTTCTCTTTGTCCGTATTTGGCATTTTAATATCTAATTTCCTTTTTCTTTTTAATGAAATTACTAGAATACAGTATTGCAATATAATACATTTTAGTATAATAATGTTTTTTGTAATTTTCAATTTGAATTTGAATGAGAAATGCAGTTTGCACATTAATTATATATTAGTTAAGTGTGCTAAACTTACAAAGTGCTGGATGCACATTAACACCCTGTTATCTGTAATGAAGGGGAACATTGTGCTTGTTAAAACGAACTCATAAACACTTCTGACTCTTTAAAAGCAAACAACTCCAGCAGAGAAACAACAGAAAGTGAAGTCAGAATAAATTAACATTATTTCTCAGTTTTACTGACCTAAACTTTGTCTTTACCTTCTTTGATTATTGAGCTGCAGTGGAAGTAAATGAAGCCTTAAAAGTTGATGCAAAACCACATTTTCCACAGTAGAAAAGCCTGTTAAATTATTAGTTTTTATTTATGTTATTATTATTTGTAGATATTTATTATTATTATTTGTTATACAGTGAAATAATAAACAAAACTCCTTCATTTAATTTAATTTTAGATCTGAAAATGTCTGTTGTGGTGACGTAAACTTTGGCAGCTTGCTGCTTACTTTTGTACCATTTAAGGTTTTTCACTGGACTTATACTACTTAGACTTTTACTAATTTCCTTATATTACTACAAAACGTTCTAAAACGTTTGGTACGTTGGTTCCTACTGAAGAAGTAAAACAACAGTTGTCTGTCTGTCTGTCGGCCATCTTGATTTAAAATAAAGACAAGAGCTTAGAACCAGATCTGATCTCTGATTCCTCCCAGGAGCCGTACGGCGTCGACACCGGTGATGTTTTCATCAACGGGCTGGATTCTGGGCTGCACTCTGGGCTGGCTGGCTGCAGCACACCGTGGTCCTCCAACTCTCTCCACAACCAGAACCAGCACCCAACAGTCCACTGTGGCTCCTCCAGAAGCCTGAACCAGAACCAGAGCGGCGACGCTCAGCGGCAGAACGTCTACGAGAACTTCATGCAGGAGCTGGAGACGGGCCGCAGCAGCACAGCGGACCGGACCGAGCCCTCGGAGGGGGATGGAGAGGAGGAGGAGGAGCGGGAAGAGGAAGAGGGGGAGGAGGTGATGGATGGGGAGGCGGGAGGAGGGGAGCAGCTGGACGTCCTGTTTGAGAAGGAGCAGGGCGTGGTGCGCCGGGCCGGATGGCTCTCCTTCAAAGCTCTCATTACCGTCAGCAAGGACAGGAAGCTGGAGCTGGTGGCTCGCCGCAAGTGGAGACACTACTGGGTCACGCTGAAAGGTACGTCCTGCCTGGAAGTAGAAATATTAAATTAAAATTAAACAATCAGCCGCACACAAGGACTTCTCTTAGAGCAGAACTCCACCGCAGCTTGTGTTTCTGGTGTTCTGCATGTAGAAACAGTCAAATAAAGCGCAGGAAGGAGAATGTGTGGGAGACCAGTGGATGACGGCGTAATGATTAGAATAAAAGATTACTCTGCCCCTCCAGGTTGCACTCTACTGTTTTATGAGACATATGGGAAAAACATCAGCGCCGAGCAGGAGCTGTCTCCTCGCTACGCTCTGCTGGCCGACGACAGCATCGTCCAGGCCGTCCCCGAACATCCCAAGAAGGAGCACGTCTTCTGTCTGAGCAACTCGCACGGAGACGTCTACCTGTTCCAGGTGAGCGAGACGCAACTTTTTATTTCATCTAGCATCAGGAATCAAAGTTTACTTGGTACATCTGAGGACTGAGTTCAGTGATCAGACCTTCCGAAACCTTGTTGCTGTCTGTGGGAGCTCTATTTTTATTTCACAGCTGACGACACAGCAATCGTTTGTTTGATCAAAGAAGAGGAAGTCAGCTACCGGGGGTGGGTTGAGCAGTTTGTGGGTTGGTGTAGGGCAAGTTTTCTTCTGTTGAACACCAAGAAAACGAAAGAAATCATTTTGTTAACACCCACCAGCCACTTAGTCTGGATGGAGAGAGTATCGAACGATGCTAAACTGTCACAATACAGATGTTGTTTATAAGAAAGGGCTGCAGCGTCTATATTTTAGGGGTAAACTGAGACTTTTTAACGTGGACAGACATATATTGGTGCTCTTCTATCGCTCCTTTGTGGAAAGCATGTTTTGTTCCATGGAATAATAAAAAATAAACTGCATAAGAGTGTCTGTGTGTCGGTGAGCTGCACCTCAGTATAATCTGCAGAGCACTCAGGAGATGTTTGTGTTGGTAAAGCAGCCGTCTGGTTGTTGGTTTGATGTTTGCTGTATGACACACTATGAATTTCTAAGGACTAATAAATATCTATCTGTCTAGAAAAACAAGTGAACATCTTCGTGAAACCGTGAATCAGCAGGAAGAGTTTTCAAACCCGCGCCTGAGATCCGAAACCACAAACAGATTCACAAACAACCAGAATCAAACTCGATCCTGGTGTTTCTGTAAACACACTGCTGCTGTGATATTTTTAACATCGCTGCTAAACTGCGGTTTTTCCGGGAAGTTCTATATTTGCATCCTCTCACTTTTCTCCTGATTGTCTGACGGCTGATTGCCGGCTGCTGGTTTACACTCTGTCATTTCAGACCCAGGGAAAGTGTGAATGAATGGGACGTAGTGTTGTGGAGGGCTGCGGTTTCTCTGCAGCGTCCCCACAAACATGCACAGAGCCTGAGCTCATTTTAGGGTTTTCCCTGGTGAAGACTGTGCTGCTGCCAGCTTCACACCGCCGACACTGAAGGAGAGATCCACGGTGAATGCGGATTGTAGTTCCAGTCCTATGAAGGGAAGCTACCCAGGACGCGCAGCTGAAGCTCTGACTTTATTGTCTTACATTTGTACTTTCTGTCTTTACCTGATGTAATGAAATCACTGGGGAGATCCAGTCTTACTGCTAAGCTAGGCTAAACATGTCCTAAGTGTGTCTAATTCCTGGCATTTCATGTTAAATGGGAACAGACGTGTGTATTTACATTACAGCAAACAAAAAGCAGGACTTGAGAGAGTCAGAGAGCACAAGTAGCACCAAAAATAGACGCAACGCACTTCCTGTGTAGCGTTGTTGACCGAAGTCCAACAAGGGAACGTTTATCTTCTTCCTCGTGTTTTTTTACGAGCTCAGAAGCACTTTTTTATTCCCAGACTAACTCTCACTCCCCTCAGCTGTAGAGTGTGTTTACAGACACACAAATCACACGGCGGTCCACCTAAAGCTCGCCTCCATGGTTCCCCATGGGGGGAGGGTGAGCGCCACTGAGGTGTCGAGGATCTGAAAGGAGCTGAAGATGGAGGGTGGAGGAGGTGAAAGCCCTCTAATGGGAGTCATGACACCCGGCTAATTACTGCAGCAAATGTTCCTCTTTACGACAATGACCCCGACAGCGAGCCGCTTGATCCCCATGAACACAAACACCTGTTAGTGTCATGAAATGAAGCTGCTGTGTCTCCATTTGACCAGTTCTGTCTCTGAAACGGTGAATAAACATAAATCACTCCTCCCGCCCAGGCCACCAACCAGACCGACCTGGAGAACTGGGTGACGGCGATCCACTCGGCGAGCGCCTCGCTGCTGGCCAAGCGTCAGGGCAAGGAGGACACGCTGCGCCTCCTCCGCTGCCAGAGCCGCTCGCTGCTGCACAAGATCGACATGGACGGGAAGATGAAGAAGATGGCCGAGCTGCAGCTGTCCGTCATCAAGGAGCAGAAGAACAGGAAGGCCGTGGAGAGCCAGGTGAGTGCGATCAGGGCAGCGAGGCCGTTAAGGTCGTCAGTCAACATCTTCTGCCTGGGCCACAGGTTCAATTCCCTTCTGGGTCACCCATCCTTAAAGATATACAGAGCTGAAGTCATTTTATATCATTATAAACTGGATTTCTTTGGGTTTTAGACTTTTGATTCCTCTTTTTTTTTTTACTGTTATCTGACATTTTTTAGCTGAAATATAAAATCAGGTGAAGAAAAATAAGCATTAGCTGCAGTCCTGACACAGTGATAACCCTGTAAGGCACAAGTGTATCACACCCTGAATGACACTTCTACATGTGTCTTTTGGTAAAATGGCTAAATCTCAGTAAAGTCATGAAATCTGGTGAACAAAAAGAGTCATTTAGTCTCAAATTCAGTCGTCGAGGTCAAATTGTTTCCTCAGAACGGGAGAGAAGTCTGGCAGAAGAGACGTTTGGTGCGTCAGTATGGTGAAACACTAGAAAGAGCCTGAAGGTGGAAGACTGGTGGAAATCATGACTCTGTGAAAAGAGTCTCGGCGGCACATTTCAGGTTCATCTCGGGTCTGAAATGATCTCATGCAGATCAACTGGGATTGAAACATTGTTGAATTAAATATAAAGGATAAATGAAGGTAACTCAGGTTTGGAATCTGTGATTATTAAAAAATTCAGCTTGTTATAATAAACTAAAAAAAAAACATGATCCTGTGATTGAAAAGGTTTCCAATCCAACTTTATTAATAAAGCACATTTAAAAACAACCAGGTTAAAAACAAAGGGCAGTACATCAGCATGAATCAGTCAACCAATCAATAAAAAAAACATTTCAACCATAAAACAGCAACAAATAACTCTGAGTCTGGGTTCAAAGCCAAGAAGTACAGGGGAGTTTTAGTCGTGATTTAAAAACTGGAATGCTGGGGGCCAGTCTGACACGAAGAGGCAATTCAGTCCACAGTCCCGGGGCCGCGACTGAGAAAGCTCGGTCCCCCCTGTGCTTCAGCCGGGACAACAAGAAGTAACTGGTCAGCGGACCTTAATGACCTTGAAGGAGCATACGGCTTCAATAGATCAGTGATAAAGGCCCCAGCTGGCCCCTGAAGGGCTTTAAAAACAAACAATAGTCTTCTTAACAGGGGGGATGAGGTCTGGCTAACACCTACATTTAAAGCATTACCTGCTAAGCAGAGACACAGTCCAGTTAGAAAGGAGCGTGGAGGCCCCGAGCTCAGGTGAACCCAGCAGAGCTGAGGGCCCTTATGGGGCTGTTGGCGTCCTCCTGGCAGCGTCACAGGAAACCCTAACAAACAGCCCTGAGGATGTTCTGGCTGCTGCAGAGCTCAGTCTCACGTGGAGTCGAGTTTAATATCTGTTCCAGATGTTTGGGGCTGTTACCGGCAGCCTGAATCAACAAAGGCTTTCCCGCTAACGATAGGGCCAGATGATAGAGGCTGATGAGAGTGACATCATGAGCCAAATGTTGAGGCGGTGACAGCAGCGTAAAAACCCGCCGGGCTCAACATCCAGCCTGAGTGAGAAGAAACACATCAGCCAAGTGACGCTCGATCAGCTCACTGTTTTAAAATCACATCCCGGCGTTTTCCCACGAGGACCTGAAGCCCGTGGTGGCCATGTTGGATTTATGTCCCATTCTGATGCGGAAACTCGCAGTAAAACCTCATCTCAGATGGATATTTTCATTATATTTGAAAGCGATGCACCAGATACATGAAGACTGAGCTTATATGAGTTATTTTTATTGTTCCTCCCACAGCACCTTAAAGATTTGCATTCTTGATTGTTATTATATGTGTTAAATCTAAGCCAACCAGAGACATTCAACTCGCTCCTCTCCTGTTGAGCCGTGACGTTTAACCCTCGATCGTGTGGGGCTAAAGGGAAATCATTTTATTTTAGCAAACATTTTTGGTCCAAGGGAGAAATTATTAGAATTGTTAGAAATGTCAGTGGGATTTTGAATGAGGTTTTCTTTCCTCTATAACAGAAGCTGGAAGCTGGTTTCTCTTCGGCTCTCTAGTAGAGTATATTTGTAGTATTAGTAGTGATGGGAGAGCGGCGGTTAGAGGTCTAATTTATTTTTAAACTCACATTTCCTGATAAGCAGTGAGCGGCTGAGTCTTAGTGCTTAAATTAAACCGGCAGCGCTGAAATGTAGAAGTGAATTACAGTAACGGTGAGAAGAGACGAACTCCAGGCTGGATCATTTAGCAGGAGCTTAATCTCTCTCTGTGAAACTGATCCCAGCGCTGCTGTTTGAACTCAACCGTCCTCTGACTGCAGATTAAAGGCTAATCTCACTGCTCGACATTCAATTACATACTGGGGGGGTTTAACAGTTTACTGTCATGCAAAATGTGAAACGGGTGTTTTATTTTATTTTTAATAAGGACGTCCAGTTCTCTTTAGGTTCGTGTGTTTGCTCAAAGTGGCGTGGGAAAGAGTCAGAAGGAAGGGAAGGGGGGGGGTGAAAGGGAGGACAGGATGGAGAGTGGAGAGAAGAAGGGGGGGGGGGCTTCATTTGATTGGTCCTCTGTGGTGACGTTCAATTAGATAAACTATCTTCCTCACAACATAGAAGAGCAGGAACAGCAGCAATGAACCAGATATTAACATGAACAAACTCCAGATCTGATTGGATGACCTCACGTGATAACTATGTCTGAACACGTCATGTATTATCTGACACGACAACAAATGGCCAGCGGCGGCCAGCCAAATTAAAACTAACAGGCCTCGTTCACTTCCTGTAAATCAGGTTTAATTGTGGCCAAATAACGAGGTCTTCTGATGGAGGCAGCTTTCGGTTAATCAGCTTGAATCTCTTTGAAAGCTTGTAGGCTTGAGTTTAGGAAATAGCTATCTGTTAGCACGCTAACGAGCAGTGTAACCAGTAAGACGGCGTGTGTGACCCCGCTCTGTGCTGCTGTGACCAGATCCAGCAGTGGGAGCAGAACCTGGAGAAGCTGAACCTGGATCTGTTCCGGCTGCGGTGTTATCTGTCCAGCCTGCAGGGCAGCGAGCTCCCAAACCCCAAGAGCCTCCTCGCCGTGGCCAGCCGGCCCTCCAAGAGCATGCTGGGACGTCTGGGAGTCTTCTCTGTGTCCTCCTTCCACGCCCTGGTAAGAACTTTTTTTTTAGCCATCTTGCTAACAGACCTGACCATCTTCTCTTCATCTCATCCTCTCATGTCGGACCTCTCCTCCCTCCTCAGGTGTGCAGTCGGGATGAGGTGGTGCTGAGGCGTCGGTGCCGGTCCCTGTCAGGAGGGACCACCAGGCGGAGGGGCCTGCCGTCCTCTCTGAAGGCTCTGGATGGACTGAGCAGACGCAGGAGGGACAGCAGACACTCCACGTCCCAGGTAATACACCGTACCGACAGCCTGGGGTCGTGTTTTATTTTCTCTTTGTGTTGATCATTGTTGCTTCAGGTTGGAATCCAAGACGTCTCTAGTTTGTTGTTAAACTGAAGCTTTAAGTTTGGTGTTTTCTCAGAGATATTCAGTTTCATACGCCTCCGTGTCTGTTACAACCCTCCCTTTGTCCACCGGCTGGGCGCTGATGGAATCATTTTTATGGAGATACGATCAGAGGTTAGACTTGAATGCTGTAACTTCATCCACCAGCAAACTTCAGACCGCAGTCGGCTTACATTTAGACGCGATCATGACACATCATGCGTGTAAAGGTCAGCTTCTGTTTCCTGTTTAACTGTCTCTGTTATCTGCATAGATGTTCAAACATATACACTTGTGTGTTTCTCCTAAGTCAGGTGACAGGACCGCATGTTTATCTCCACAGTGTCTCCAATTTTAAGACTTCTCATATGGAAACATCAGATCTTAACCCGACCTTAACTTACTCGCCTTTTCTGGAGCTGTCATCTGTTTAACAACTGAAACATCTCTAATAAAAAGTGAGAAAATGTTATAACTTGACACAATGATTGACAGCCATCTATTAACTCACATCTCAACTTAACCCCTCCCTGTCAATGACTGGATGAACTGCTGCTGGAATCTAATTGGTCTCATCTGTCAAACTGGAAACACATGACAACAGTTCTGGAAACATGAAACTACCTGCCAAAAACCAACTCCTGAACAAGTCTGAGGAGACAAACAGGCCGTGCTTCGTTTTACAAGCACGTATTTTAAGGTTCAGAGGGATCTCATCATCTAAACGCTCCCTGTAGTTCACTGATTGATCAGAATTACAGCTGCTGATTGTCAGTGGATGTTTTTCCGATTGAAATCTTGCAGTTAAACACGGTTTGACTGCAGCTGTGGACCTTTGTTGCATTTTAAACTCTCTCTCTCCTCTTGTTGTCTGTCGGCCAGATCACCATCAGCTCTCCAAAAAAGGCTAAATGCCAAAAAACCCGATCTCATGTTATAGTCTGTCGCCATGAGCCAGATTTTTGGTCCCTCTTTACTGCTGGTCCTGCTGAATCTCAGTGCTGCAGCTATGGATCATCAGTCAGCTGAAGTTCCCATCATCCTCGGCTCCTTAAGGGCCCCTTCTTGATAAACAGCGAGCTATTTCTGGACCCAGAGAGTCTGAGAGTTTCAGAGTCCAGAGGAGATAAATCTCTCTGCAGCTGAAGGTTGATTTTGGCTCTGTGTTTTGGCAGACAGATGCTGTATACACCTCAGTATTAACACTACGGCGCGTGTTCTGTGTTGACACTCTCACAGCGTAAGCTTTAATAGACCTGACGGGTGAAGACAGTGGAAACATGACTGCAGGGTTGGGAGGACCTCAGCATGTAACCGTCCTGCTGAGCAAGCCATGTCTCGGTGAATGTCAATATACTTGTCTTTCTTCTCTCGTTGTTCACCCTGGTTTGGTTCGGTTTATTAGTGATATCCCTGTTCTGATTTGAACATCCCCTGCTAGTTCACTTCATTTTACAGAACACCGACCAATCAGAGAGCTCAGTGTGCTCTGAGGTTAGAGAAAGTCAAGTTATTGCAGTTTTTTTCGCAAGTATTTTAGAATATTGGCAGCTCCCTGTCTAAAAATCTTCTGGTTTTACAGATTTTTGAACATATCTGACAAAGTAAAAGGTGAAATAAAAAACCTCTTTTTATACACAAAACTTTTCTCAGCTGTAAATAACTTCTGGAAGGACACCCGTAGTGATTTTCATACTGACTCCCATATTGATTTTCATACTGATTCCCGTACTGATTTTCATACTGACTCCCGTACTAATTTTCATACTGACTCCCATACTGATTTTCATACTGACTCCCGTACTGATTTTTCATACTGACTCCCGTACTAATTTTTCATACTGACTCCCGTAATGATTCCTGTACTGACTCCCGTACTGACTCTCGTAGTGATTCCCGTACTGACTCTCGTAGTGATTCCCGTACTGACTCCCGTACTGACTCCCGTACTGACTCCCTTACTGATTCCCGTACTGATTTTCGTACTGACTCCCGTACTGATTCCCGTACTGACTCCCGTACTGACTCCCGTACTGATTTTCGTACTGACTCCCGTACTGATTTTCGTACTGACTCCCGTACTGATTTTCGTACTGACTCCCGTACTGATTTTCATACTAACTCCCTTACTGACTCCCGTACTGATTTTCATACTGACTCCCTTACTGACTCCCGTACTGATTTTCATACTAACTCCCTTACTGACTCCCGTACTGATTTTCATACTGACTCCCTTACTGACTCCCGTACTGATTTTCATACTGACTCCCGTACTGATTTTCATACTGACTCCCGTAGTGATTCCCGTACTGACTCCCGTAGTGATTCCCGTACTGATTCCCGTACTGACTCCCGTAGTGATTCCCATACTGACTCCCGTAGTGATACCCGTACTGATTTCCATTTTGACTCCCGTTCCATTCGCTTTTTACAAAAAGACACTGTCTGGCCAAAAGTACATGGACACAAGATTCTCTAGCCTGCAAGGCTCATCAGGGTCACATGAACGATGGGGTTTGCCTAGCTAGTACTACTCCTAGCAAGCTAATATGCTAGCATGTTTATTACTGGCTAGGTGACTGACTGAGGGTGTGACGATGGAGTTTAAGGTGACTTACTTTGAAGGATCCTTAAATGTGTTTTTCAAATCTTGATCTTGCATCATTAAACAGAGTTTAAATGACTTTTCAAGTTCAGTGATGAGCTAATTACCTGCTGACTGTACAATAGACAAACCACTGTCTCCGTCGGCCCATTGAGAGTCCCCCATGTGGACCTCCTTGTTCACATCCTGAAGTGCATTTCTTCTTGGTCTCTTAGTTCCACTCCGAGAAATCTTAATGCAACAGGATACAGTTCAGTGATATTAGCAAATCAAACAGATTTACAGCATCAGTATTTCTATTTCCTACCTTGAGAGTAAATCCTGCATAAATTGCAGCTCTGAGTCCAAACAGATTGAATCCTGTAGGCTGGATCTCGTTCAGGTTTAGACCTAACCCGCAGAGAGCGTCTGCTGTCTGAAGGACATGTGGAGTTAATTGCTGCATCGTCTCTGCAGGAGACAAACAGCTGCCTTTGTCCAGCAAACATCAAACATCAGCCCACACAGTTACTGGACTCAGAACCACCTCCCCCACCTCATCCGGGTGGGGGGGGGGGGGGCAACTGTTGTTACTGTAAAAAGGTTGATTCCTTCCAGTAAACTCTGACAATGTGGTGACTGTCAATAAAAGAGTTTTTGTACTTCAGAATCCTTCCTGGATAAATGTTAGTGTGCATTTACAGTTTAGGTATTTCACTGCGAGTCCAACAGGACAATTCATCTGTTTACAGCCAGTTTGAACCAGATTCCACATCCTCCTGGATCATTAATGGTATTAAATTGTGATAAGTGTTGTAGAGATTCACCTGAACACAATAAACATACAAGAAAGATCTATTTGTCAAACAACACAGGGATGTGTAATGAGATGAAGTAATGTTGATGGTATAAAAAATACTAAATGAAGGTATATTGAGTAGGTGGATTAGTAACATAATGATTGCTCATAGCACAAACAAATTAAAACAAATGTAGAGGCAGGTGGAAGAAACTTGACATAATAGCTGAGGATAAATTCACATGTAAAACCTGTGTGGAGCTTTTAACGTGATGACTTCACTTATATGTTTGAAAAATGTAAATTTCACACATAGTATGAAAAATAAAACACAAATTCAGTCTAACATCTGCCTCCCATACTGACTCCCCTGCTCACTTCTGGACTGATCCCTGTACCGAGTCCTGTACCGAGTCCTGTATGTTGTAGTGAAGTGGATGATGATGTGTTCACTATCAGTCGTCCTCAGACTCCAGACTGGCTGCAGCTCCTCCGCTCTGATAACCGCTCCGACTGCACAAACCTGTAATTTCAGCACAGCTCAAACCCTAATTTTTTCTCATGATTCCCTGTAGATAATTTTGGTTTTGATCCGGAAGAGAATTTAGTATCAAAGTGTTTCATTTCTTTTTCCTCGACAGATGGTTTTTAATTAAGTATAAATATAGACTGTGAGGGTGTATTTTTAGCTTCGTCCTGAGTCATGACTGACTGTAGTCGTTCACCATGCTGCTGTCTGCAGGTCTGAGTTTACACTTTCTGAAAGATTTACATGGCTTTCTCATATTTGTAATACATTTCCTTAAAATATTTAAATACTTGAAAACTGCATATTGGCAAATCATAAAATCCAGAGAAACATGATATTATGAAAATTAACATATCATAATAAGAAAAGAAGACAAGAAAAAAAGTTGCCATATTTTGAGAAAGAAAGGTTTAAAATGAAGTACTAAAAACATTACAAGAAAAAACTTGTGTTGAAACGGAGACAAACAGAGCGAAGAACATGTGGACGTGGTGTCCTCACACTTTTGGCCGTATCGTGTCTTTTGTTTGTCCAGTTTGCTGCCAGAGAGGAGGACAAAGACACGAGCGTTTTCTTTATTCAGAAGTATTTGGTTGGTCAGACAGCTGTTCCATAGCAACCTGCTGATCTGTAGACACACAGAGGAGGAGCAGGAGAAGGAGGAGGATTAAAAGGTCTGACAGCCTTTTATTCTCTCAGAATTCCTTTGTCCCTCGGTGTTAATCCCTCTCTAGAGGCAGCAAATGACTCCCCCACCTCCTCTCCTCTCCACATGACCTCCACCTCCTGTCTTCCAATCCTCTGCTCCTCTTTTAACCTCCTTCCTTCCTTCCTCGTCTTCCTCTCAACATGACGCCTCCTCGTCCACCTCCACTGCTGCCTCATCTCTAATTGGTTTTCATTTACATCCTCTCTCCATACTTTTATTCTCATCTCTCTTTGACTCCTCTCATCATATTTCCTCTCCTTTCTCATTCTCTACTATCTCTCTTCACCTTTCTCCTCCTTTCTTTTTTCTCCTCCACTCTTCCCTTCCGTTGAGCTCATCTTTGTCGGTGTGTTCAGATACTTGATTAGATAGTTTGTCAAATGTTTTTTTTATTATTAAAGAATGTTGAATTTAACTTTCAGCTGGATGAAGTGTAATGAGTCTAAACTGTTTCCTCTCCAGAGACTCGACTGTGTGTCCAAACTGAGGGAGGCGGCGCCCTCTGCAGGACGTCCTGCAGCGCTGCAGGTGCGTTCACTGCCTGCATGTTGTTCTACATTCACACTGAACCGTCACTGCAAGCTACAGAACTTTCACCATGTTTACAGACTGAAACACTGACAAACTGTCTGCCTGAATAATAATAATTATTGTCGTGGTTCAGATCAGTGAATTAAATCAACGGCTTCAGAATGATTAAAGTGGGTCCTGTTGTTGTTGTTCAGGTGAGTGACGAGCTGCAGCTCCTCGGTGTTTTCACCCTGACCGTCTGTCGACACGACGCTGCCAAAGACTTTGGTGAGAAATTAATCCCACAAACACGTCGCTTCACTTCACACCAGAGGTTTTAAGGAATTAGAAAGAGTTCCACCTTCATGAATTTGGGAAAGAGGAATTTATCAGGAAACATGGATTTTAATTCCACTTATCAGTATTAGGGCCACATTAAGGAATAATAAAGTAAGGGAGAATATTTTTTATTTATGTTGCATTTTGAGAATAAAGTGTAGACTACATGACAGCCGCTCTAACGTGATTTGATTGACTAAAGGAGTTGACTTTATTCTCGAAATACAAAATAAAATAAAAATCTTCTCCTCAATTTTTTTCCCCTTAAAGTGGCCCTAAAAATGTGATGTTACATTTCAGCAGTCCTTGTTGGGTTTTAAAAATTGTGGCATAAAAACCACCCGCAGGACTCGGTGACTTTGTGAAATCAACTAATGACATATGATTTGATTGTGTGCCGATGTCTCACTAGTTTTATTAGTTAAAATAAGAATAATGAAGATATATTTATAATATTTTCTTGTGCAGGTTTTGCGGTGACTGGTCACGTGGACGGAGCGGGAAGAAGTCACGTCTACGTCAGCGAGGTCGACCCGCTGGGACTGTCGGCCAGAGAAGGTCCATCTTCGGTTTCTGTTTAATACTCAGATAACTAACAGAGTTTGGTGACAGTCAGGATGAACAATGTTAACTGTCACAGTTACATTTCATAAAACCAGACTGGTGAAGATATGATTATAGAGTTTTAATATGCAAATACTGCTGAAGTTATGTTGATTTGTACTTAAATTCTTCTTATTTTCACCAGACGGCAGCAAAAAAGCAGGTTTCAGTTTTGTCACAGAATCAGAAGTGACAGACCCTTAATGTGAAGGGCGAGCGGACCAGATGGGGACTTCCTGTTTCATTTGTTTCTTAAAGTCCTGTTTGTTTGCGTTTCCCATCAGGCCTCAGGGCGGGAGACGAGGTCCTGGCTGTGAATGGGGCCGCCGTGTCCGGACTGGACCTGGACCTGATGCAGAGTCTCTTCAGCCACCAGAAGCTCCAGCTGCAGCTCAGGAGAGACGAGTCACCCGACCCCGTGGAGCCCGGAGACCCCTGCCAGCCCCCGGCCCCTCTGGACCTCCAGACCTGGACCGCCGGTACCACAAGCACCAATTCAGGTTAATAAACACGAGTTTGATGTTTTGCATTCCTCACGTTAAACTCACTCTCCAGCATTTAATGTAAACTTTATTTAGACATCCCAAAATCAAAACCGGACTACAGTAGACTGCTCTTTAAATTTTAGAATTTGCCGTTTATTAAATGTGACAGTAACGTAGACAGGAAGTGCAGGAGGTCGAGAGGCTGGTACTGAACTGTGTGCCCTTATCTGTCAACAACCCTGAAACCAGAATTTAACACAGGAGCTTCAGTCTCCCTGCAGGCACGAAGCCAACTGCAGCTCCCAGAGGAGCTTTTATTCTGAAGGCCGGTCGATGGCTCAGTCAGACACAGTTAGAACAGCAAAGCAGGGAATTCTGGGAAAACTGCCTGCAGAGCTGTAGTGGTAGAATTTCTCTGTCGGAGGTTTTTGTTTAAATGTTTCGCCAATAACGATCAACACTGATCAAAAATAGTTTGGCTGATGTTGTGTTTTAAAGGGTCACTTTGGTATTTTTCAACCTTTCCCACGTTTTTGTGTCTGTGTGACTAACTGAGACAGAGTTCTTGAAAGTGGCCCAGTATTGATCGAGCGCACTGCAGTCGGCAGCAGTGGAGCTGAGCTGTAACTTAATCTTTTCGTCAGAGTACGTACACTAAAATGCTCGTTTTGTGCCGGTGGCAGGCTCAGATTGTTAATAAAAGTGTCTGATAACATTATGCAAAGGATTCCTACAGAGACAGAGCTTTTTGTAAAGAGTGAGATCCTTTTTGTTAAGCCAGAAACAGTCAAAGCCGCCAGAGTCCACTGATAAAAACAGCAGAATTTAGGATCAATTCTTTCTTTAATGTCTTTATATTTTAAACATGGAAACAATCTGTAACCTGATCTCGATGTCACAGATTCTTCATCTCCAGACGACGTCATGCTTCCTGTTTTTGACGCCGTTTCATCAAAACCCCATGAGGACGCCGAGCAGCAGAGACAGGTGAGACTCTCAGTCTGTCGGTCAGTGTTTCAGACCTTCTTCTATTTATTTATCTCCCCTCTCGTTGTTTATGTTCATCCTGCTGTAAACAAAGAGGAAAAGACACATTCAGGAGCTGTTTTTAGCGTTGATCTGATCTGTGATCAGCCACTGAATGATCGCTGTGGGTCCACGTGTTTGTATTTTTGGATGGTTCTTCTTCAGGTGTTTTTGCTTTAGATGTGTCACCACCTCCCTCTGGACTGTGGCGTAACTGACCCTGGTCTACATGTAACCAAGGGAAACCAAGACGCTGCGTTCAGATGTGTGAGATTTGTGACTAGAGTCTGAATCCGCTTGAAAGAGGGAATTTGCAGCTTTAGTGTGAGCTTTTGCAGAAATCCTGCTCGCTGTTTCAGAGTGTGGATGAACACTGAGACTCACTTTAAATGTCCAGGATGCAGCACAGGTGTCTGCAGCCTGAAGACGGAGCTGACGTCTCCGTGAGTCCACCTGCAGCCGCCACAGAGGGGTTTCAGTGTTTGCACTTGTTACTCTGCAGAAATCCTTTCCCACAATCCTCCTCCTGAAGCCTCCTGTGTCACCTGACCTGTGATGAGGCCGTTAATCCGGTCTTAGGTCCTGAGGAGCGTTTAAAGTCTGAGCAGAGGATTAATGGCGTCTGCTCGTAGAACCTGAGAGAGCTCATGTTGTTCCTGACCAGCTCCTCCTCTGGCGGCCGTAACGCTTCACGAAGACAACCTGCGACCCCGGCCGAGGCCCCCCCCGTCACCCCGCTCTCTGACCATGGGCGCTCTGTGCTGGGTGCTGCCGCCGGAGGAGGACGAGGAGACGCTGGAGGAGCAGGAGGAGGGAGGGGAGGGGTTCCCCGGTGTGGGCCTGGTGGAGCGGCTGGCGGGGCTGCTGGACGAGGCGTCCTGCTGCCGGAGCTGCCAGCGGCCCCCGGACGGCCTCGCCCTGCTGGTAAAGAGACGCAGGGGGTCGGGGGGTCAGGGTTCAGACTGAGGCTTCTGACGACAGCAGACAGTGTCCCTGTAAAGACGTGAAACCTGTTGCGCTTTCTTCTTCCTGCTGCGTCCTGATGAGAGTTTACTGATTAACCCCGTCAGTCCCTCTGTCTGTCAGGACATGTGAGCAACAGGACAACCTTTCCTGGGTGTTGGTTTGGTGACACGAGCAACACGAGGGCACTGGCTCTGGTTGTGTTCCCTGTGGGCGGCGAGGTTTGTTGTTATGGTGCTTTGGTAAATAAATAAATCGACATGTTGACCCGTGTGAGAGGTCAGGAAGGTTCGTGACGTGGCGTTTGAGCGCTATTTATATATGTAACCTTTTATTTTAAGTCTCCTGAGAGATAAACAACAACAAGTCATTTATTCAAAAATATACTTATTCAGCATCTCAACTTACTCTATATGGCCAAATGTATGTGGACACCCCTGTCTTCACCTCTAGATATGAGGACTAGAGCTGCAGCGATTAGTGGATTAATCAATTAGTTATCAAATATTAAATTAAACCCAAGTTATGTTGATAATCGATTAATCGTTCTGAGTCATTTTTCTGAGAAAACCAATGTCAAAATTTTCAAATTTCAGCTTCTTTAATTTGAATATTGTAGATATAGCAGATTGTAAGCGGATAATGAAAATAAATGTTAGTTGCAGTTTTAATTAGGACACGTCTGTCCACAGACTTTAATGGACCTCAGGTCTGCCTGAAAGCAGCAGAGTGGATGTTCGGCACACTTTTGGCCGTCTGTTCTGCAATATTTAGGTGTTCTTTGTTTGTTTAGGTTATTTTAAGTTGTGCATAAGGAGAAGTGACTGGATCTGTTTGAGCAGAACATCAGTGTCGCAGCTGTCCACAAACTTTTGTCCATCTGTTCTGGATGAATTCGCTGCTCTTCTTTGTTTGTGTTTTGATGCGTGCAATGTAATAGAAAACACGAGTTTTATTTCCTGCTGCACTTGACGGGGAAACATTTGTGTGTCCCGCCGCTGCTGCGTGTAATGACCTCTGTTCCCAGTAATACCTGTGGCTGCTGCTGTCGAACGTGATTCTTGGCTCCGTGCTGACCTGGTCGGATGTTTTACGGTAACTGCAGCATTAAATCTAAACCGTCTCTGAGTGTGAGGGCGTGAGGAGTCTCCTCAGAGGAAGCGTCCTCGCCTGCAGCCTCACTGACGCTCTGAATGCATCAGACTGTCTGCAGTTTATTAGTCTGGCAGCACAGATTACGATGATGAACGAGGCGGCTGGTTGGTTCTGGGCTCGTCCTCCTTGAGGGTCAGACTGAGCGCCGCTCTGTGGCTGCTGTCTGACGTAGTTCATTATGGAGCAGAGGAAGCGTCACATCTGCTGTTTGTTGGAAAACTCTTTAATGGACTGCGGTTCTGTCCTCAGAACGTGGACCGGGTCTACTCGCTGTACCAGACCTTCCCAGAAGGCCGAGCGGCAGAGGCTGACGTTCCCAGGAACCCGTACAGCAGAGAGGCCGGTCTGCAGCCCGCGAGCCCCGCCCACCTGAGCGTGTGTCAGCGTCTGCGTAAAGTCATCCAGGAGCTGGTCGACACCGAGAAGTCCTACGTCAAGGTCAGTAGTACTGCAGTACTACTACTGCAACTACAGTACTGCAACTACAGTACTGCTTTTAATGCTCGCATTCTAGAAATACTACTGCAACTCACAGTACTGCTTTTAATGCTCGTACTCTAGAAATACTACTGCAACTCACAGTACTGCTTTTAATGCTCGCATTCTAGAAATACTACTGCAACTACAGTACTGCTTTTAATGCTCGCATTCTAGAAATACTACTGCAACTCACAGTACTGCTTTTAATGCTCGCATTCTAGAAATACTACTGCAACAACAGTACTGCTTTTAATGCTCGTACTCTAGAAATACTACTGCAACTACAGTACTGCAACTCACAGTACTGCAACTCACAGTACTGCTTTTAATGCTCGTACTCTAGAAATACTACTGCAACTACAGTACTGCTTTTAATGCTCGTACTCTAGAAATACTACTGCAACTCACAGTACTGCTTTTAATGCTCGTACTCTAGAAATACTACTGCAACTACAGTACTGCTTTTAATGCTCGTACTCTAGAAATACTACTGCAACTCACAGTACTGCTTTTAATGCTCGTACTCTAGAAATACTACTGCAACTCACAGTACTGCTTTTAATGCTCGTACTCTAGAAATACTACTGCAACTCACAGTACTGCTTTTAATGATTTACAACACAGTTGAACACGTTATAACGTTGATGCATCATTAGCGATCTGAATTGTTTGTAAATATGAAAAACTAAATAAAACATATCTTCATGATTGCTTATTACAGTTTATTACAGGCCCATTTACTTCCGGTCGGCTCGGAGGTATTGCGAGGCTACCCAGCCGACCAATCACAGAGCTTACGGTCTGCGTCGACTCGACGTGTAGTTACCTTTTTGAGGAAGTGCATGTCAGGCCACGGCGTATCCTCTGCGTAGCCCCGTCACCTACGCCGTCGAAGTATAAATTGTATGGAAGTATAAATCGCACTTAATAGTGTGGAAGTACTTATATACAAATCCACTGTAGTTTGGTTTAAAATCCTTAATTACGTCCTGATTTGGCATTAAAGGTTCTTTATGTTTATATTTATATGTTTACTTTTTAAAAAATATTTAAAAAGACATTCATTAGTATTACACACAGAATAAACAAAGCATTCAGGTAGATTTAAACTATTGAACACAAATCATTTATTAATTGTTAATACACAGTAAATGGTAGATGATTCCACTTTATGTGTTTCATATTTAACTTCCATACTTTTAAATTATGACTTGATGAGTTAGATTTAAGTTTGATCAAGCAGAACCAGACAAAAAAATGTTAATATTATTTAGCTGAAACCCAGTTTTTCATCCTGTCAGCTGTGCCAGCATCATCTGCTTGTTTTATTTGATGACATCTGTTAATAAATGTTTTTCTGTGCCTGTTAAACGCTCTGAATCGTGTTTGTAAAGATAAACGTGTCCGTGTGTCCGTCAGGATCTGGTCTGTCTGTTCGACGTCTACCTGACGCCGCTGCAGAGGGAGACCTTCCTCAGTAAAGACGAGGTAAAGTTCAGGAAACACCTTTAACCAGATGAGACGTCGACCTGTTTTCAGTGTCTCTGATCGCAGCGTCTCTCCCTCCAGATGGAGGCGCTGTTTGGCAGTCTGCCCGAGATGTTGGACTTCCAGAGAGTTTTCCTCCAGACGCTGGAGGAGAGAATCGCTTCCTGTCCGAACTTCAGCCACCTGGAAACACCTGGACAGTTCAAGGTGAAGCTCCGTCTGCCCTGACAGACACGCTCTGCTCCTTGTTTCACTTCTGTAGATTGATTGTTTTTATGTTTTTAAAGTTTTCTCTCTCTGCTCTCAGAAACTCCTCTTCTCGTTGGGAGGATCTTTCCTTTACTACGCCGACCACTTCAAGCACTACAGCGGCTTCTGTGCAAACCACATCAAGGTCCAGAAGGTCCTGGAGAGAGGTGAGGCCGACCCGTCACACAAAACCTCCATTTACATTCTTTATTTATTCTTTTATTTATCCCTTTATATATCCTTAATTTGGTCTTTTATTCTTTATTTAATCTTTACACCTTTAATTTATTCTTTTATTCTTTATTTACTCTTTACATCCTTAATTTGGTCTTTTATTCTTTATTTACTCTTTACATCCTTAATTTATTATTTAATCTTTACATTCTTTATTTATTCATTTGTTCTTCAGATTTAATTTATTCTTTACATTCTTCATTCAGTTGTTACATTCATTATTATTATTATTATTATTATTCTTTATTCAATCAAAAATCAGTCTCAGCTCTGAAACTGTTTCATTTTAAAAAGGAGAGTGTAGAAAGGTTCTGGTTCAGGAGGAGATGAAATTTGTTGCTCCGCTGTGATTCGTTAATAATTAAACAATTCTGTTACTGGTACAGCAAAGACAGACGCAGCCTTCAAGCACTTCCTGGAGGCGAGGAATCCGACCAATCAGCACTCATCCTCTCTGGAGTCGTACTTGATCAAACCTGTTCAGAGAGTCCTGAAGTATCCACTGCTGCTCAGAGAGCTGGTGTCCCTGACCGACCCCGAGAGCCCTGAACACACACACCTGACAGGTACGACGCGCACACACTAACACCTGACAGGTACGACTCACACACACACACCTGACAGGTACGACGCCCACACACTAACACCTGACAGGTACGACTCACACACACTAACACCTGACAGGTACGACGCGCACACACACACTAACACCTGACAGGTACGACGCGCACACACTAACACCTGACAGGTACGACGCACACACACTAACACCTGACAGGTACGACGCACACACACACACTAACACCTGACAGGTACGACGCACACACACACACCTGACAGGTACGACGCACACACACACACTAACACCTGACAGGTACGACGCACACACACTAACACCTGACAGGTACGACGCGCACACACACACACCTAACAGGTACGTCGCGCACACACACACACCTGACAGGTACCACGCACACACACTAACACCTGACAGGTACCACGCACACACACTAACACCTGACAGGTACCACGCACACACACTAACACCTGACAGGTACGACGCACACACACACACCTGACAGGTACGTCGCGCACACACACACACCTGACAGGTACGACGCGCACACACACTAACACCTGACAGGTACGACGCGCACACACACTAACACCTGACAGGTACGACGCGCACACACACTAACACCTGACAGGTACGACACACACTAACACCTGACAGGTACGACGCACACACACACCTGACAGGTACGACGCGCACACACTAACACCTGACAGGTACGACGCACACACACACACAACTGACAGGTACGACGCACACACACACACAACTGACAGGTACGACGCGCACACACACACTAACACCTGACAGGTACGACGCACACACACACACTAACACCTGACAGGTACGACGCGCACACACACACACAACTGACAGGTACGACGCGCACACACACACACAACTGACAGGTACGACGCGCACACACACACACACTGACAGGTACGACGCGCACACACACACACAACTGACAGGTACGACGCGCACACACACTAACACCTGACAGGTACGACGCGCACACACACCTGACAGGTACGACGCGCACACACACCTGACAGGTACGACGCGCACACACACCTGACAGGTACGACGCACACACACACCTGACAGGTACGACGCACACACACACACTAACACCTGACAGGTACGACGCACACACACACACTAACACCTGACAGGTACGACGCACACACACACACTAACACCTGACAGGTACGATGCACACACACACCTGACAGCTGTATGGGTAACTCATCATATTGCAGCTGTAATGCGCCCTGCGGCCTGTAGAGGGCAGTGGCAGCACTTAAACCAGTTAAACCAGTTATTGATCTTTTTCCCACCTGCTGTACTGTCAGGTAATGTAACGCACCTGTAATTCCTCTGCTGTCCACACAGAGGCGCTGAGAGCGATGGAGAAGGTGGCGAGTCACATCAACGAGATGCAGAAGATCTACGAGGACTACGGCTCCGTGTTCGACCAGCTGGCTGCAGAGCAGAGCGCACCTGACAAACAGGTACAGAGGGCGTCGTGCACTCTGCCGCACGCCATTCAACTTTATTTAGAGCGCGTTACTCGTCCCGGTCGTCTGTATCTGAGGGCTGAAGCAGTTCTTACCTTCCAGGTGGCAGAGATCTCGATGGGGGAGTTCCTGGTCCACTCGTCGGTGATCTGGTTGAACCCGCTGCCCTCTCTGAGGCGACTGAGGAAAGAGCCGGAGCTCACGCTGTTCGGTGGGTACAGACGCTGTTACCTGGCGGCAGGCGCGTGCAGACAGGTGTGAGTGTGACTAACGGTGTGTTTCATCCTGTTTGTGTCCTCAGTGTTCAAACGGGCCGTCATCCTGGTTTACCGTGAGAACAAGCTCAAGAAGAGGATGGTGAGTCTTCAATCTTGGGTTTTTGGAACCAGACGTGACCACATTTGGGCGAGAGGGTGGAGCTAGTGTTTACTGAGGGAATAAATCAGCTGAGAAGTAGAAACATGCTGGCTGCTGGAGAGAACGCAGGTTTAAGGTTTCACTTTTCAGACCTGGAGGTTCCTGCTGGTCTGCGACACAAAGATAGGGCGACCTGTATGTGGTCTGAGAGGCGAAACCAAGGGTCCCCGCAGGAAATGAGCAGCATAAACCTGATGCAGGGACAGTTTTAAAAACTCCCACTGATGCGTTCAAGGACACTCTGTCAGAGATTTCAGATTCAGCTCCTGAACGGCGCGTTCTTGAATGCGTCACTGCTCCCCACTGTAACTTTATGTGCAGCGGGTCCAGGCAGTGACACAGACGGCCACCTGGACCTGAACGTGGCGTGCGTTTCCTGCAGTCCTGAGCTCTTTCTGTCATGTTCTCATTTATAATGTGTGCTCTCTGTTCTACAGGCCGGCTCTCGCTCAGCAGATCTGGACCCCTTCAGGTTCCGCTGGTTAATCCCAGTGTCAGCGGTTCAGGTCCGACCGGCCAACATTGCAGGTCAGTGACCAATCACAAACATTTCACATCTATATGTCAGCAGGTGGCGCTCTGCTGCAGCTGCAGTACATTTACAGTGTCAGAGGGAAATATTGTACTTTTTACTGCCCTTCAATCAATTAAGAACTTTAAAAACGAATTACAAAATGTAATCAAAAAATATGATGTATTATTATAAGATAAAATCAAATAAAACTTTATTGATCCCTTATTGAAATTCACAAGCTGCCCAGCAGAATAAATAGTCTTTCAAATGAGCTCCATCTTTACAGCGGCAACATTAAAGTGACTGAATGAATGCATCAATAATAATAATGATCTAATATACTACTAGTACTTTAACTTTTCCTTCATGTATATTTTATGCTTGCACTTTTGAATGCAGAACTTTTACTTGTAACAGACTGCGGTATTGGTACTGACGTAACTTGTGTCTTCAGGCTCGGAGAACCCGTGTGTTTGGGAGCTGGTCCACAGCCGGTCGGAGGTGGAGGGACGGCCGGAGACGGTGTTTCAGCTCTGCAGCAGGTACAAACTGTCCCGTCAGCTCGTGTCCGCTCAGCCTGACCTCAGCCAGAAGAATTATTTTAGGTGTTGAAGGACTGAACAGAGTTTTTGAAGAGATTACTGCTCTGTTATTTTAGAAACGTGTGTGCGTGTTTTTGTACCATCTTTACGAGGATCAGTTTGTCCAACACGTTCTCACTCCCACCTCATCACATATGGACGCTTGTCGAGACCTCTTGGTGTCGCTTTTTAACGCCTTTAGTGTCGTAGTCTGCGGGTCAAGAATAAATATGCGATGTCTGATTAGACTTTGAAAATAAAACTAGTGGTTGATGTCGAAACATTGGTTTCTAACAACTCCTCACTCAGACTTTGCTCTTTTTTATATCCTACTCGCACTTTTTTAAAACTACACTGCAGGGTTTCGCGTTACAAACTGACGCATCTTCATCAACTGACGGGTCTTGAACATGTGTATATGTGACGAGTCGGGGGTGAGAGCAGGTTGTTCTGTTCTGTCCTCTCATCTACAAAGGGCTGTTTGAGGTTTTAGGGTTACAGTTAGAATTCAGGTTAAAGGTCCTTAAACAGTTAATTATCTACTTCTTGATAATCAGTTAATTTAATTTTTTTAAAGAGAAAACGTGATCCTGTTGCAGCTTCGGTGTGAGAACTTCCTGCCTTTCTGTTTTGTATGATTGTAAATGTAAAATCAAAACTTCTGATGTTTTAATAAAACACAAATTAATGGAGGAAATTATCGACAGATGAACGGATAACGTGTCTGTTCTGACCTGAGCTGTTTGTGTTTCAGCGGTCTGGAGACGAAGGCCAGCGTCCTGCGAGCTCTGCGTTCCCTCCTCCGAGAGCGAGCGCCCGCCGGCTCCCTGAGGAGGACCAGGCTGTCGACGGCGGAGAGGAGCAGCTCCTGGAGGAGGAGGCAGCAGAGGACGAACCACCGCCAGCCGGAGGAGAGCTGCAGACCCGACGGCGGCTTCCTCCTGGGAGAAACCTGCTCGGAGCCTCTGCTGCCCAGCAGGGCCGCCCTGGACCCTGCGGGGAAGAGGACCAGACTCTGCTCCCTGACCAGCGATCTGGAGGCTCAGCTGCAGAGGCTGAACGTCACCGAGGAGGAGGCGGAGCGAGGAGCGGCAGCGAGGAGAAGTCCTGGGGGAGAGGTGGACTTCAGCAGCCTGCTGGAGAGAGACTTCAGCGTTCAGAGCATGACCTCCATCATCAACGAAGACTGTTTCTACGACACCATGATGGGGATCCAGAAGCCCGCCGTCCCCTCGCTACACGGCTAAAGCTAACATGCTAACGCGGAGAAGAGGAGCTGAAATCTGCAGGAGAGAGAAACTAAACTTCCTGTCAGGCCTGAGCAGGTTCTGACATGTGTCCTCCATCAGCAGGACGTCCTCAGACCTCAATCGTCATTTGACACCACATCAAACTGGAGGATTCATCACGAACACGCTGCCGGCTGATCACGGACGTCTGGGAAAATTTGAGATGGCGCGACCTTTAGCAGCCGTCTGATTGGCTGTGAGTTCAACAACAACGATAACTTTTAAGAGGAAATCCGATCAGCTTTGACACTCGAGTTAAAAACAACTTCAACAGAGTTTTACAGCCGCTGGGAGGAAAAACATAATATGTGAACAAAATTATAAATTTTACAAGAAAAAGTTAAAAATCTTTTAGAGAAATGTTGACGTGTTATTTTAATTCTCATCACAGTAACAGCTGAGCTCAGTCTGTCACTTCACTCCTAATGTTGTGGCTTTTTTCCTCACAAAGTTCTAACTTTATTCTTGAATATTAAAATTACAGTTATTCTCAAAAAATCTTGACTTTCCTCTCAAAATATTTACTTTATATCTGAAATATCTTGCAAAAATGTGACTTTAATTCTCAAAATCATGGCATTTTTCTCAGAGAACTTTTAAAAACATTTTATCTGCGCTAAGTAGGACTTTATTTCCACAACATTAAAATCATAAATCCTAAAAGTTCATGACTTAATCTGATTAAATTATGACTTTATTCTTGAAATTTACATTTCACAAAATACATTTAAATAATTTCTCATGATATTGAGATTTGAGAAATTTGTTTCATGTAAAATATTTTGCCTGTGCGACTTTACTCTCGTAACATTATGACTTGTTCTTCAACATATTTTGACTTCATTCCTCGCAGTGGCCATAAACTCACCAAAGTCCAGAAGCTTCCTTCATGTTTCAGGCTCAAAGCTGCACCAACAAACCTCCAGAACACTTTTTAAAACTCGTTCATGACATTTAACGATTAAGGAATCTTGTTTCCGGTCAGAAGAAAACCACAGATGTAGTTTGTCAGGAATCACAAATAAAAATGTGGATTTTTCTTTTTGTATTTTTGAAATCACGCCGTGGATTTAACAGTTTTTACGACGACCAGAGTCTTCAGGAAGCTCAAAGCTTTTTAAGTCACACCTCTCATCACTTCCGACGAATGTTGACTCTTGCTTTTTAGCATCATCTTGTAAATAATGATTCTTGCACAGTTTATTTTTCAGTTTGTAGTTTTCTGATGTTTTCTCGACAAAAGCAGCTCGGAGCGAAGCTGCTGGATCAGATCGAAGCCTTTGTGTATCTGCCAGGTTGAGTTATTGTATTTATATATTTTGTATCATGTTTTGTATTTGTGTATTGCAGTTTTTTCATTTAAAATGAACTTTTCAAGTTATTTTTATTAACTGTTAAAGTATTTGGTAATTTATTTTCTTAAATATTTGTGTACGTCTTTTTAACGACTTGATGCTGTTAAATAAATAAAAAGTATTTAATTAAGAAGATTTATTTTTTAAACTCTTTTTTTTTTTCTTGCAGCTCAGTAAAAATATCAACATGCACGAGATTACAATAATATTCTGTATGTTTCCCAGATCATAGATATTTGTTCATGTGGAGAAACCATGTTTATCTTAGAGCCTGTGAGCTTAGCTTAGCAACTAGCATAAGCTAAGCTAACAGCTAGCCTGGCACAGCCAGTGTACTAGCTGTTACAGATGTTAGCTGTTAGCTAGCTAGCAACAGTTTTTATGTTCAAACTTCCCTCCAACCTGAGTCTCATCACGACTTGTCACATATGACCTCTTGGCGTTGCTTTTTAACGCCCTGGGTAAAACTTTAGCATAACGTTTGCATGTTTAGGGCTCTCTGGTCAAGTTAGCGAAAATAAATATCTAGTTAGACTTTCAAAATAAAACTAGTGGTTAATGTTGTGAAATGTCGCAGTTTGGTTAGGTTTAGGAAAAGATCCTGGTTTGGGTTTAAATAACTGTGTTACTTACGTGACTTCAACAAAAACCACTGCTGTTGACTTTTTGTTTCACACGGGAAACAAACCGCGGTCTCCTGGGTGAAAATCCAGTTTCTGACTCACCTGTCCACCCCAACCACCTACTTAAGCAGATGATACACGGAGCAACTTTTAGATCTATGGTGCTGGGCAATGTTCCCGTCAATGGTAACGAGTAAAGATTACTACTGTAATCCCCTCCCCCCACCACTCCGCCATCCATCACGCTATCCGTTCAAAACATAGTCGGACTTGCCACCAGCAACATTGCCCAGCAACACTGCTCAACGAGTTGCCCCGTGTATCATCAGCTTACTCTGAATTTTCTGTTTTCTGTCATAGGCCTACTTGTAGCTACTCACTTGGCAGCCAAGTGAGTTGGTACCTTTTACACAGTCTATAGTTGGTACCAGACGCTGAAGCACGTGACGGATCGTTTCTATTCGACGCCCTGGGAGCGAGAACGGGCTGGATCAACTAATTCTCACTCCCGACTCGTCACTTAGGCCCTTTGACGTCGCTTTAACACCCTGGGTACACCTTTAGCATCATTTTTAGATGTTTAGGGCTCTGCAGTCAAGTTAGCAACGCTTAGCAACAACAAATATGCAACATCTGTTTAGACTTTCAAAATAAAATGCTAGCATTTTGAAACGGCGTGTTGTTAAAGTTGTGAAACATTGCAATTTGGTCAGGTTTAGGCAACAAAACTACTTGGTTAAGGTTTGCAAAAAATCAAGGTTTTGGATTAAATAACTACGTACGTCAGTTAACACTTGCGTTAACTAACGTAACTTGGTGTAACTTAAATAAAAATATCTAATGATGACTTTTTGTTTCACACAGGACACGAACCCCGGTCTCCTGGTTCAAAGTCGGGGACCTCCTTACTCAGTCTGTTCTGTTAAATATCACATACCTGCCTTTACCATCAAAAACTGACGCTACATTGAACTACGACGCTATAGGGATCCCCAGTGCGTTACAAACCGCCGCTGATGGGTCTTGACCATGCGTCCATAAGTGTCGGGGAGCGAGGACGGGCTGTCTGGGGATTTGGTCTTAAGCCAAAGTGTTGGACACGTGAACATGTTGACCTGATGGTGGCACTAGATGAAACGTTATTACAGTTCTTCCTGAGGGGAACATTAAGGTCTAAACCACGTTTCATCACAGTCCGTCCAACAGCTGCTGAGATGTTTCAGTCTGAACCAGCAGGTCCAGCGTCGAGCTGAAGTCGTGAGTTTTGGCCTCAGACGAACACATTTCATGCAGATGAACCTGAACCTGTGAGCATGTGTGGTATTTCTGCCCTCTCGCTCAGTCTCTTCTTTGTGATCAGTGTGTTCAGCAGCTCTTTGTTTTTCTCACTGTGGCAACAAGAGCTGAAGAGAATGAAGAGGTTTGTGCTTCTGTTCACAGATTTTAATTTCAGCGTCCCATCGTGCTCGAAATCTTCTGTTTTTGACATTAAACAATGAATAAACATAAACAAGTGTGCGTGATGGTGAGTCACTTCAGCTCTTGTTGCCACAGTAACTGCTGTACGGAGGATGAAACAGCTCGATGCTGCTTCCTCTTTATTTATTAATGGAAAACAGGAAAGACATTAATAAAGTACATGATCAAATCCATCATCTTACCACCAGCAGCCTGTTTTTAATGGTTTCAGAAACTGCTGTCTCGGCTGTTTCTCTTCAGACTGCAGACTTTTAAAGTTAAATTTAAGCTCATACAGAAAGATATTTAATACAGTTTCACCATCTTATCAGCCAGAGAAAAACAGTCGAGACAATAAGGGCTGCAGTTATGTTTTTTAGTTCATGTATTTATTGATTCACATTAACATAAATGATCAGTTGGTGCGAGCTGGGCCCAGAGAAGCAGCAAGCATTTATGGCTGGATTAAACATGAGAGGTGTAAAGGAAGAGGACGCAGCCACCGTGACGTCACCTGTTGTTTAGTGGACTAACGTTTTAAGCCTCGAGTATGGCAGTTTTGCCGCCGCCATGTTGTCAATCAGTCAATCACAAGGTGGCCCCTGCTCACAAAGCCCCCCCTGCTTCCTGGTCTCTGTTCCTCTAAATGGGACCATAATTTACTAAATGAACATCATGCTGTGTTGAAGAAGACTTGAAACTAGCGACTGAGACCATAAACTCATCAGGAAAGTGTTTACTGAGGGAATAAACCACCTCAGAAGAAGACTCATTTTACCGTAGACTTCTATGCAATCACACTTGTTTTCGCCCCCTGCTGGCCGTTAGAGAGGAAGCTGCAGTCACGTACGGAAACACGTTGGAACCAGAAAGCAAAATAAAATATTTGACTTCAAAAACCCATAAATTAAATTACACTTACACTACACTCCTACAGCTGATTTATAAAAACGGAAGTAAAGGTTTTGATGTAAAGCACATGAAGGAAAACTCTCATCAGGAGGCCAGATGCTTTGGTCAGAGGGCCAGATTTGAGCCTCGGGCCGCTGTTTGTCCAACACACAGTCAGTTTGTTGTGTTTGAACAGCAGGAATGTGCTGAAGTAGACCTGCATTCAAACACACACACCTGCACCGCTGTGTGTGTGTGTGTGTGTGTGTGTGTGTGTCCTCACAGTGGCTGTAGGATGACGACCTCGTCACGTCTCTGTCGGCAGGTGAGTTTTTAGATTTTTTTAAATGTTTTCAAAGTTTTCCTTTTTTTCTGTCTGCCTTGAAACAACATGTGCAGGTGAGCGCTGATGCTGATTGGCCGTACTCGCTGTGACTCTCACCTGTTCGCCTCCACTGAAAAAGAAAACGGTCTTTTTTGAGTGGAAAAAAACAATTAGAAATTCTAGAAACTGGCATGAGACATAATCTTCTCAAACATATTGTATTATTTCTCAGATTTATGTTCTTATCATACTCTTTTGTTTAAAATATTTACAGCATCTCACACAAGTGAGTACACTCCTCACTTTTTTATAAATATTTGATTCTATCTTTTCATGTGACAACACTGAAGAAATGACTCTACAGTGTAAAGTAGTGAGTGTGCAGCTTGTGTAACAGTGTAAATTTGCTGTCCCCTCTAAATAACACATCACACAGCCGTTAATGTCTAAACTGCTGGAGACAAAAGTGAGGACACCCCTAAGTGAAAATGTTATTGAAACATAAATTCTAAAGTAGCTTGTACGCGACGCGCAGCGCGACTCATTGGAAGAGAGACTGATCCTCGCTGTTTGGGAGTCTCCAGAATCTATCACTGTTTAACTAAAGAGGACATCAGCAGGAGGGAATTCACACGGCAGAGCGTCAGATGAACGCCTGTCGGGTAAAGTTACGTAGCCTTTCATTTTAACTTAAGTTAAACAGGCTACAGAAGCCGTTGCCGTGGTTACAATCCACAGAGCACCTGCCGTTTACTCTCCTGGTCACCTGAGCAGAGACTACGTTGTGTTTTTAAGAACGTTCCTCTGGCCGACTTCTTCCCCAACACTAACCAGCATGCAGGGTGCAGCTGTCCACTGCGCTGTGGCGTTTGATCGCTTGTCTTGCTTTTGTTTATCTCCTTCCACACGCTGCGTCCAGCGTAGTCTGCCGAAGCCTCCCTCTGCTGCTTTTTCGGGTGGCTGATTTGCAGGCTGATCAACATCCCGCCCCTCCTGTGACCCGTTTGACTGGATATGTATTCAGAGCCAGCGAGCAGCGGACTTTCAAAATAAAAGTAATAAAAACTGCGTTAACGTGAGATAAAATAATTGTCACCATTAATTAATTAATGCGTTGCCCAGACCTAATAAATATATATATATAAAACTTATGCTTCCCCTACCTGAACAACTACTTAAATGAACATCGTACAAATGACACTGAATAAATAAAACTAAAATTGAAAAAAAGAAATAATTTCAAAGGTCCAGATGACAAGAACAACAACTTATAATGAAGGTCAGTAAAAATAAATGCATAAATAAATTAGGAATGCGGTCATTGTCATAAATGTGTTAACTTATTTTATTGAATTTTTTAATTCAATTAACACATAAACATAACTGAACTCTTGCCCAATTGAACAAGCAGCAGTATATAAAATAAACACTTTTTGAATAAATTAAACTAAAAAAATAAATAATAAAATAAAGAGTTAACAAGTCCAGTTGACAACAATAAGAACTTACAGTGAAGGTCAGTAAAAATAAATAAATTAAATAATTATATCTACTCGTGATAATTGCTTATATTATCACGACTAGATATAATTATTAATTTAACACTGAACACGTTTGGCCTTCCGTAGTGGAGGAAATCATTTCAGCTGAAGGAACCTTTTCTGCTGTTGGAAGCTTTTTGTTTTTGCTCTGGTCCATCAGGAAGGCTGAGCTATAATATAATATAGTATTATGTATTGTATAGTGGTAATACGTACTTTAGACCTGCTGTACAACATTTCATCTTTGATTAACCTCGAATACGCTGTTTGTTTATTAAAATGTTTTGTTAATATATATATTTTGTTTCCTGTTACATGCTGTATAAAGGAAAGAAAGAGCCTTATTAATGATTATATTATTAGATACTAATTAAAGAGCTATTTTAAATCAAGAGCACAGGTTTACTTTTTATTATCTAAAATATTTTAATACATTTTTTACATTTAATGTTATATTTATATGATGACAGCGTTTATCCAAATACATACTACCCCTGTTTAACAAAGCGTGCTCTCAATTTAAATAAATATCATATTTTACAAACGTCTGAAGATGAAATCTGTGTGTGTGTTCAGCTGAGATAAAGCAGTTCATTTATATTCCCGTCTGTCTGCTGATTGATGCCTAATGGAGCCGGCGGGGGGTTCCTATTATCACTGTGACTGTGGGGGTCAAAGGTCAAACTGTCAGCTTTAATGCAAAGCTAATTTCTGCCATATTGGATGAAAGGCTGGAGAATCACAGGCCTTTACGAGCACCGTGTTTGATTCTTCTGCAGCATTTAACGCGTTGCCGCCGCCTCTTTTGTGCGTCGCTGTACGTCAGGATTAATACACACATGAAGAAGAAACGTCCGCCCACATACAGTCAGCTGATCCAGCATATTTTACTTAACTTTATTGTGTTTATTCACTTAAAACAGAAAACATAGAACGGATCTTTGTTTAATTACTGAAACAGACATAAATCATTACCTCATAAAATATTTTCAAAATAATGTCAGACAAAAGCAGCTTCAACATGTAGAAAAATACACAATTTACCTGAAACCATCATCTTTCATTTTGAATTTAAAGCATAACTTTGCTTGAGTGAGGACTGATCTCTGATAATATCGATTTCGTACATGTTTGCATCATTTTCAGGTATTTAATTCACTGGATTAGTCAAAACCCTCAGATCTGCTTATTATATCTATAAACAATGATATAAGTTCAGAGTGATGTTTTGACTTTTTAAAAAATGTTGGACAAAAACTTCCCTGCAGAATCTCCCTTTAATCTGAAAGTCTCGATGTTGAAGCAACGACGCTGGGCTGAACAGGTAACTGTGGTTTCATACAAACAGCAAATGAAAAACAACCAAAATGACCAAAAAAGCACTAAAAACTCAACAATAAAATGCACAACAATAACAAAACACAACTCTCCAAAACAAATCATATAAATACTCTTTAAAAATTTTAAACTACACAGAAGAAATCATTTTTACTTTAAACAAAAGAACGCACAAAATCTTAAAACAAACGATGCGATATTAAAACAAAAAAGAGATTTTAAGATTAAACAAAACATTTTAAAGCAAATAAAAAATACATTGTTTCAGTGTATAGTGTATACATTGTAAAACAAAACACCCAAAGTAAAAGTATGAATAAATTAAACTAAATAGAGGTAACAAGTCCAGAACATATTTTAAACCAAACTAATAATAATAAACAAAATAACACAATTGTAAAACAAAAGATTAAACCAAGAAAATTGATTGATTTAACAAAAAAATGTAAATCAAACAAAAACGACCGAAAACAATTAAACAAAAAAAACTAACAAAATGTTAAATTTAAAATAATAATAATAAACAAAATAACACAATTGTAAAACAAAAGATTAAACCAAGAAAATTGATTGATTTAACAAAAAAATGTAAATCAAACAAAAACGACCGAAAACAATTAAACAAAAAAAACTAACAAAATGTTAAATTTAAAATAATAATAATAAACAAAATAACACAATTGTAAAACAAAAGAAAATTGATTGATTTAACAAAAAAATGTAAATCAAACAAAAACGACCCAAAACAATTAAACAAAAAAAACCTAACAAAATGTTAAATTTAAAATAATAATAATAACAAAACAAACACTGACTTCCCCCCCAGGTATCACTTAATTGAGAGCAGAACCTTGCTGGTGGAACACAAACAGAACAAACGCTGGTGTAAACGTTTGTCCTTGCAGCAGGAGGCCCTCAGGCGTCGAGTCAAACCTCCAGAGTCTGTTTTAATAGACTTCACCTCGTTTCACACGAGCAGACCGGAGCAGCTGGATATTAATACACAGCGTTCAGCATGTGGGACAAAGTCTGAGATCACAGCAGGTCTGAACGCCTCAACACGCCACACATCATCCCCCCATCCAGTAGGTGATTCATCTCTGTTAGAAATTTAGAACTCATCCTTCTTAGAAATACAAATAAAACAGCTTTTAAAGTATATTTTCTGTTTAAAAAAATCATCATTATCTTTGGTTTTTAGACAGTTTTTTTCTCTATTTTCTGACAGTTTCTAAACTAAGCAATTAATAAGTTTGTCCAAATGTAATCAGCATAACAGCTGATCATTATTTTGATTTATTTTCATTTCTGAAATCAGCCTGCAGAGAGAGACTCCATCACTGACCTGGTTCACTCAAATACTGTATTTTCAAACTGACATTATTATTATTATTATTATTGTCATGATGCAGTTGAGAGCGAGGGCTGCTGGGAAAACTCTCCCTGTCGATGCATTCAAGGACGCTCTGACATCTGAGGTTTAAGACTTCTAAAATCTTTTAAATACATCAAACAACCGAAGTTGCAGTAACAAATTTTACTTATGGATTGTCTTCTGGATTCAATTTTACTGACGACGTCAGAGAGTCCTTTGACTTAATACAAAAGAGAAAATGCTACTAAACCAGATCTCATTAGAAAAATACATGTTTTTATGTTATTGTTTATTTGGTGCTTTTGTCCAAAGTAACCTACAGCCACCCACCTCCGCAACAACAAGCGCTGGATTTAAAAAACAAACATATTTGATAGGTGCCATATGTGAAAAGAAGCAGACTGTTAACTTATGTAACATAAACAAGTTACCCTGTATGAGTAGGTTTACTGATATAACCCAGACTATATAAAAACACCACATCATTTATTGTCTTAGTAAAACCTCACCTTTCAGTTTAGGGCACTAAATACCTTCATGTTTTATGTACATTTTGTAACAAGTAAATATATTTTCATTTGGGTTTGGTATCATTTTATTGTGTTTTATCCTGTTGGTCTTGGTTTAGTTGCACCAGCAGCATTTTAACCAGTAGATCAGAACTGCTCAGTCACACTGACCTCCTCTGTGTGCCACCACAATAAAACCCCCATCTAAATATCTGGTGCCCATCCTAGGGGCCCCGACCTCCTAAAATCCTAAATCTGTGTAAAATAGCTCCTATTTGTCCACACAAAGACCACAGGCTGTGATAAAAGTACAAGGGGCCACAAGCTGAAAACGTTGGGAGCCACTGTTTTATCTCACCACAGTACAGAACCTCCATTAGAAATCTTCCCGCATTAAAGCTGCAGTAACTCCTGGTTTGGCGTACACGATGACCTCATCGCTGCGTCTCTCTGGTGGGAAACGGAGTCGTCTTTGCTGTGGTCTGTTTGTCATGAGTTACTCTCTCAACATGACAACATTCATTAAGCAGTGTTGATGGTTGAAATGAAGCTCACGGGGACTTTAACGTGATACTTTCCCACAGGGAGGCTGGTTGGTGAAAACGTGTGTTTATTGTTTGCAGTTTGGTGGGAGCTGCTCCTGTCTGTGCAGGTCTGAGGCTGATAAGACCCAGACTGGAGGATTATGGTAATAACAGGCTGCCACTGACTGACTGCCGGGTCCCATTACGGGTGGGCGGGCTGCGGACGCTTATCACTGCGTTGCAGTGGGCGATTCTTCAGTCACATGACGGGCGACACCTTGATTCACACTGCAGCTGGACAAAGAACAGCTCAGCGGTTTTATCACCAAACGAAAATGACGACCCCGATGGTGCGTGCTGATTGTTTTAGAAGCACCAGTGATTCTGTCAGGTTTCGAAAGCGAAGCACTCAAACACGCAGATATTATCAGTGATAATCACTAATTTTACCTTCGTGCTCTTTATCATTTTCAAACTCTCTCTGTGACAGTGACCACACAGAGCGAAAGGACAAAATCTAACTGTCCAAACAATCAAACAGTCATTTCCAGGTGAGCGGCTGTGTGGTCAAAGGCGGAGAACCATTTCTGCGGCGTTGCGTGGCGCTGCCGTACCCCGCCATCAACTCATCAGATAAGAACGCTGCTCTGCGGCTGCTTCGGCAGAGAGCCGGTGACCTTCAGGTTAGGAACAAAACCCTGTTTCCTGAACCAGACTTCGGCCGACTGTGTTCGTACGAAGGTTTCTGTTATTCAGAGCGAGCTCGCAGGGGGGGGAAAAAGAAAGAAAGGACGCCTGGTGCATCTTTTCCAGGACGCAGAATGGGATGAAACTGTATGTACAGTTGCCAGGGAGACGGCAGGCAGAGAGGATAGTTAGAGGCTGTTAACCCACAAACCCTGTGTTTTCATTCACTCTGCTTCTCTGCTTCGTCCTCAGGAATCACTTCAGGAGAGGCTGCCAGACACTCAGGTAATATTCCAGCTTTCAACAACTGAACCTGAAGAGACGGCTGATTCCTCCTCTTGTTGCAGAAATAACTTCACTCTGAGGGAGCTGTGAGTTTTTCCTCTGTGGGGATGTTTCCTGCAGCTCACAGGGAGTAAACCCAGGGGACTCTGCAGCTTTAAATGGACATAATTGAGTGTCAATGATCACCACATCAGCTGCGGAGTAACTAATGCAGGCAATCAGCGAGCTCACACATGCTCGCCGCCCCCACCCCTCTTTAAAAAAGAAATCACAAAACTGAGGGAGGAAAACGCACTCCCACCAGCAGCCTCAGCTGTGCGTCCGTCACGCTCCCACGCTCACTTCAATTCTCATTTCTCCTCTGGTTGCAGCCCGCTGGAGCCTGCGCTGAGGAATTATCTGCTGTCAGGACCTGCCCGGGACGCCGCCGCGCCAACACGGACCGGAGCTGTACTGGGGCTGGGGGGGTACTGAGCGATGCTGTCCGCCGCCATTCAGATCCTGGCGTTCGCCCTGGCGCTCCTGGGCGTCCTCGGCACCACCGTGGCCACTCTGCTGCCCAACTGGAAGGTGAGCATCAACGCCTGGTCCAGCATCATGACCCCCATCTCGCAGATGCAGGGTCTGTGGATGGACTGCGTCTGGTACAGCTCCGGGGTCTTCAGCTGCACCATGAAGAACTCGGTTCTGTCGCTGCCGGGGTATCTGCAGGCCACGCGGGCCGCCATGGTTCTGTCCTGCCTGGTGGCGTTGTTCGGACTCTGCCTCGCCTCCCTGGGGCTTAAATGTACCCGCTGGGGGGGCAGCCACCGAGCAAAGGGGCACACAGCCATCGCTGCGGGGGGCTGCTTCATCCTGGCCAGCTTTCTCTGCCTGGTCCCCGCATCCTGGTTCACCAACGAAGTCATCACCGTCTTCCTGACCACGGACCTGCCGGAGAGCAGCAAATATCAGCCGGGAGGAGCTCTGTGCGTGACGTTTATATCCGCCGGCTTCCTCCTGGCTGGAGGGGTCATTTTTTGTTTGTCATGTCCTGGAAAGAGATCTGGACGACCGGACTTCGCTTCCTCCGCTGACCCCGACAGACGTCTAACGTGCCCACATGAGCAGCGGAGGCGGGAGCTGCAGACGGAGGACGTGCAGCCGAAAAACAGGCAAAACAAGACGGTTCAGCTGCAGATGGACAAAGTGAAGCAGAAGAAACCTCCTGAACAGGGTCAGGAGCAGAAGAAGGTCTACTTGTCTCCCTCCAAACTCCCTCCGAAAGACATCAAAGACAGCTACAGCCTCCAGGAGTACGTTTAATCCTCACAGCTGAGCGGGGAAATGTGGAGTTTTCAGCTGAGCTTTCTGGCTCATAGTAAAGGGGGAGGTAAGGTGGGGGAGGTGTGTTTGAGGGGGAATAATTACCAAATGTTGGAAATGACAGATTGTGGATTCAGGCGACCGTCTCGGGGAAGGAGACGAAAAACAGAGGAGCTCTGTGAGGAAAAGAGGTGCTTAAAAGAAGCTGTAAATCCTTTAAAAACTGCCTGCAGATCTGACGCAGCTTTCCCACACCAAAGGTCTGAAGGCAAAAACATGAAAGAGCTGAAGCTGCTGATCTTAAAAAACAAATCTGAGCTCTGCCTGAAACAGAAAAGCCATCCAGCTGCAGATCGGCCTCCTGAGGTAAAGTAGTGCTCAGGCAGGGCCGGCCCAAAGCTTTCTGGGGCTGTGAGCAGGATTTCACCACCCGAACCAAATAAAAAAAAACATGAGAATATTTAAACAAAAGCTGAATGTTAGAGATGTATTTTATGAAAAAATAAATAAAGAGGACAAAAACACAGGATATACTGTAACTTTGAGATACACTTTCTGATTTTGATATAGCGCTCTAGAAACCCAAACTTTGGTGGTGTAGAAGGTTAAACTTGAACATGAGAACACAAAAAGAATATTCTAGATATTAACTGGTATACTATTGACATAAAGATGTAATATGAAACACACTGAATCGAAATGCTGTTAAATACTGGTGTAAACTGAGGATTTAAATTGCACAAAACATACCTCAAATTACAAAATATTATGCTAATAATGTCAGACTAAATGATTATACTTTGCTTATCATAATTAAATTTTTCCCACACTGATTCAGAAAATCAGTAGTTACTACTACTACAGTTACTATAAATGTAGGATGAAGTTTTGCACATAAACTTAGTGATGTATTTACACACAGAATTAGACTTGTTAGAGATAAATGACTCAAGTTTTATATATCAATACCAAAAAATCCAGACCTCATTACTTCTACCCAAATAATCCAAATAATATTCACAATATTAAAGATATGTATTAAGTACAAAAAACTACCTAAAACAGAAGATATGAAGGTCAAAATCTATAAAAAAACAAACAAAAAAAAGAAGTAAATTTAAAGAATCTTCTGTAAGACTTGTTGTAATGTGAATCACAGAGTGTGTCTTAAATTATTACAGCAGAGAAACAAGAGTTCACACACTGAACCTGTTCTGGTGGCTGAAGACACTTCTGTCTCAGCTGTGTTTGTGTTGGTGTAGTTCAAACTGCCCCGTGGACGTCACTTTTATGGAAAATAGACAAATAAAATATATATATATATATATATATATATATATATATATATATATATATATATATATATATATATATGAGAGAGAGAAGATATCATAACTTAACACTCCCTGGTTTTGGTTTTGCTCTGTTCAAACCCTAAATGTAAAGACAGAGCCGCCGACATTTCAGAAGTTTTATTTACAAAAGTAAAAAGAAATTGTACAAAAGAACACAACACAATGTGTGCAGGACTCAAGCTAAATACTCTAGAATAGTTGTCATTCTAGGCTGAATGTAGGTTACATCTAAAAGAAAACTAAATTATTTAAACAAAAGTTAATTCTCTTTTCTTTCTGAAAATGTTCTGTAAGATTTTTGTCACAGTTGCTGTTTAGCAGCAGGACAAAATTAACTTCTGACAAAAAGAAACCCAACAGAAGTTCAGCTTGTTTCATGAGCTTCCTGAGCCTCGGTGCATGCTGCCCGTGCTTTAGACGCTGCCTGTAGCTTAAAGTTAGTGCTGTCGTAGAGACTCGAGCCTGAAGCAATAAAGACATCTTTTGAAATTCACTGTTATCAAAAACAAGTCCAGATCCAAAGCTTCCAAACGACGGCGTCCGCTCCGTCTTTTCCCAGCATTCAGGGGAGGCGAGAGGTGCAGAGCAGCATGGAGAGGTAATGATGCTCTTTGCTTTCCCATTATCCTCTCGCCACGGTTGGATGCACACCGCACACACAACCCTCCACCCCCACTCCACCAGCCTCCTCCAGCTGTATGAAAAGGACATTTGCAGGATGTAACTTGCAGCCTGGACTCTCCACAGTATTGTGTGCAGTTGGTGGGTGGTTGTCCTCTAACCTGAGGTGAGCTGTCAATCAAACCTGCCAACACCTATAAAAAGGAAAGAAACTGCTGAGCTGAACGCCCACACCGCCTCTCAGGAAACGCTTCAAACCTGAAAAAAAAAAAAAAAAACGATTTACAAGAGACACGAGTCGATTCGTCAGTGCTGCAGCGACGCCTCACTGTCAAACCTGACATGTAGGAAGCAGGACACATCCATGCTCCAGCAGCTAGAAAACAAGCTTTAAAATATCAATACAAGGCACAAGGACAAAAAAAAATATCTACAGATGAATTCTGTATGTCTGTTTTTGCTTTGCTGCTCAGACCTCGCTGGAGGTCAGCTGGACAGTTTTGATGGTCACACCGTTTTCTCAACCCAAAGCCAGAGCACTTGAATGTTTTTTTAAAGGTACAACAGCACAATTTAGTTTGAATCTAACTATAAAAATGTATTTTGTGGTCAAACATTTAGGTTTGTATTAGTTTTCTCTCCACCGAAACATGTTGTGTACTTCAATTTTATTTATAGCGCAGAAGATATCTCATTGCACTTTTCATATAGTGCAGGTCTAGACCGTACTCTTTGTAATATTATTTAATGAGCCAAACAATTCTCGCCCTTGAGCAAGCACTTGGACACAGTGGAAAGGAACAACTCCCATCTGAACTAAAATACACAAATGTGGGACTGCATTTGGCCAAAAATGAAAATAAAAAACATTGTGTTTTTTTGGCTGTTAAAAGTGAAATGTTTTTGTGCTTTTAGCAGGACTTCAGGTCCTGTAAAGACAGAAAAACAACTATGACTACAAAAGTGAACAAAGTCATTCTCCGTGTAGTGATTTAGTAAAAACAAATACATGAAGTTAATTTTGGGAGTATGAGTGATTTTAATGTGGGCCAATTAGCTAGCGAACCCTAGCAATAAGTAATTTGACGTTACAAAGACAAAAGATGATGTGTTGGCTGAAACTAATTTCTTTGCAGTTCACTTTGAGCCCTTTGTCATATTTTTTTCTGTCATCGGACAAAATTAACTCCATACATACAAATAAATTGATAAATAATAAAAAAGATTTTAAAAGTGGTGAGGATCACATCTTCAGTTGCTGATTTATCCTCTTGGAACAAAGCTCTTGGACGTCAACATGCATTTTTCACATTAATTTAAAATGAGAATGTAACTGATCCAGATCAGCTGGGAATAGTCTGGATTCATGGTTAAGATAATGATCACTGTGGTTTTATCTGTCAACAAATAAAAACATGTCTGAACTGAAACCTTCACAGGGCCCCTAGTTTTATTTTTGAAATCAAACATATTATTGTTGTGGTTTCAGCAGTTGAGGCCCATCACTTTTGATACTCTAAGTACATTTTGTTGTTGTAACTACCTGGTTTTAGTAAAGTAAGGTTTTATTTAATCTCTGTGTTAAAGTTACTTTAAAATACCTAAAAATTTAATTTAATTTAATAGCCTGGGTTTTTAACTCACCCTGCCTATTGTTGGGACAGGCCTTTAATTCCTTTACAATGCCAGTCAGAATGATGAATATTTTGGTGCTCATTGTTTCCGTAACTGAGCAGTTGATTTGTGGAGAATCAAACCATGTGTGTCCATAATGACAACAATTTAAACATTTATATTGGTCCGCACGATCTAAGCAGCTTTGCTCAAGCGGGCAACACGGTGGGCTTTGAGAGGTTTTATCCACTGCGCCATCACCACCTCCCTTTGATGAGAGGATGAAGAGGGAACCATCCTTCTGGGCACGAGAAGGAACCTATAAAGCTCAGTGTTATTGATTTGATTATTTTCCCCAATTAAATACCCAGTTGCTGCACTTCATTTTAGTTTTTGTCTTGAGTGTGATTTAAAGTTTCTTTCCCTGAGCAGAGACAAACAAAGCGCTCTGCGGTATGTCAACAACTACAAACCCAAGCTGAGGATTCTTCTTGATGGTCTGGTTGGAGCTGGAAAGTCCAGTTTCATCAATTCTGTCCGCAGCGTGTTAGAAGGCAGAATGTGCAGACAGGCTAGGGTGGATAACAGCACTGACTGTTGCACCAAAAAGGTACGCAGAAAAGTTTAATTCTGTTGATATTCTTAGTTGTGAGCATGAAAACATTAATAGTTCTCATCCCAACAACTAATACTGATGCTGCTAAGGTTGGTTAACACAGTGTCCACACAGCCCGAAAGCAGCACATTATCACAGCAGCAACTTAGGCTTTAGCTCGGCATCCTGGTCCATCACAGTACAGTAATCTGTCCCACATTATAGCCTTCCATCTGGGAAAATCCACGACATCCGTGATTTCCGTCAGCTTGTATCTGTCCCGACTCGTCTGGCTTCATGGTATAAAGATCCACAGGCTGTCGGCTCTCGTGCTAAATAACACGTGTGCTCGCTCATTGCTCGTACATATTCAATGTAGTGACGGGTGTCTACGCTACCGGAATTGTACAAGCAGAAGAAGAACGCCGTGATGATGAAACGCGCTCTGTAGTGCTGTTTGTTCGTTGTCGGCTATTATAGAAACATGACGACAAAATACAGCAACCTCCATAGAAGGGGGTGCCCGCGGTTATGTAGATATAAATGTCTCATTCTAAGGTAATAAAAACATAATGGTTCATTATTATTTATACACCCCTGAAAACATATTTATGGATGTTATATTGCATTTCTGTCAATAGAGCCTCAGAAATATTACACACTGAACCTTTAAGTGTACATGCTCATATCTCTACCACATTTCTCTATCAAATTTGATAAGAGAAATATTACTACTACTACTACTACTGGCAACAGGAAGTGACCTTTCAAAGAAGAGGCCCTTGCATCATGTTTGACCTACATGCACAAAACTTTTGAGGCATATGTACTGTATTATCCCAAGACGCACAAAAAAGGCCTCTTGGAAAGTAAGTAACAGTAAGTCAGCCATTTTGATTTGAAAGTGCAATTTCAGCCCATTTTTCATACTTTATATTTACATACTTTAACAAGCTCCAACTACTAAATCAGTTTGATCATATTTCAAAGTTTCACTGTGCGATCTAAAGGTATTGACAGTAAAAAGTTGTGTGAGGTCTGTGAGGTTTCATCAAAGGGCGTGTCCATGGCGTCAAAAATTGATGATTCACCAAGACACAGGACGTTGTTGTCACTGCAGTGCACATGCTCACAGCTGCACCACACTTTCCATGTTTGATAACATTTCTGTCCTGAACACATCTACATGCCAATATTCATGCAATGTCACAGTGCCACCTACTGGCAACAGAAAATAAGCTCTGTGTGATAATCTACGACAGTGTTTCCCAACCCTTTCCTGGAGAAATTTATTGATTAATTAATGATTAAATCTCTCTCTGCTTCAACACAGCTGATTGAAGCAGCTTCAGGATTCATAACGAGTTGATAGTTTTGAATCAGCTGTTTTGGAGCAGTGAGACACACGGCTATATAAACAGTTATCCACATAAAGATACTACTCCTCTACTTCTCACCACAGCCACTGTTGGGATATCCTAATTTGCATGATTTAGATGTACAAATATTGATAGTGGTAGATAATTTGATGGAACATGCCAAGACCCATGCATTCAGACTTTAAATGTTTTGCATAATGCAAATCAGTCAATGTCGCCACCTCCTTTGTAATCCCTGTGTGTATACAGTGAATAAAGTAAAAGTATTATTACAGTAGGCTATTGTGTCTCCATTCATTTTTAAAAAGTAGATATTTACATTATCGATACAAGTATACATGCTGTATTGCATGTGTGTTCATTTTTACAGATTCTACAGTTTGATAGTCCACAAGCTGTAGTCCAAATAGTCCAGCAGGGTTCTAGTTACGGTCCATAAGGAGGGTATTTTTAATGACAAATGTACATTATATTAATAAGATAAACACACTGAAGAAAAGAGAAAGTGTTGGCCACGTAATGATCAATGAA